CACGATAGAAGTGTAAACATTCAACAAGGGAAGATTAATAATATGAAATTTAAATTATAAATGATAGCACATTATAAAGAGGATTAAATGCTGAACATTTCCCTCGCTTACATTATGCAGTTCCGATTTTTAGTTTCTGAGATATTTTAAATCTATTATCTTAAAAAAAAAAAACTCGAAACTATTATTTCGGTTATTTCATTACACACTTTACTTAGTTACACTATGTCTTCACTCGACACTGTATCTTCTTCTTTCTTTATATATCAACAATTATTTATTTATTTATATTTTTATATTCCATCACTAGAATGCTTTGCCTATAAAATTGATTTTGCGTTCCTTTCCAATTTCATTCAGTGATTATTATGCTATTCTTTTAGCTCCAATATCGTAGTACTGAACCCCTATTACCCAACTGTTCTCGTTAATTTATCCTAAGAGCTTAATTAATACTTAATTTATTACTAGTATTTTGTTATTCATTGTAATAAGTCTTTTGGCCAGATTTATGGTAAATTTATATGAACAATACTGTTATTCTAAAGGGACCTAGTCCCAGAATAAAGATGATTTTTCTATTTCTATCTTCGGTTTTCGACAATATTTTCTCCTTTTCGCCTCTCTAACACGGCGTCGCGTTAAGGAACAATTATATATAATAGCTCATTATAAATGCTGAACATTTCCCTCGCTCACAGTAGTTCCGATTTTTAGTTTCTGAGAGTTCTGACGGCTCAATCTAATCTCAAAAAAAAAAAAAAAAAAAAAAAAAATGCAAAACGCGTCTAAAGAAATTTTCACTCCAAAAAAAAATTATGTCAGGATTGAGACAAAACATAAATATAATTAGCAATATTTTGAGTAGAAACGATAATACAAACATGGATATGTATAACCAACATTTAGTTTTTTTTTTTTTTTAGTAATAAAACAATCTGTCACACACACATATATATATATATATATATACAGAAAATGGATATATATAAAGAACTAATTATTTCTCTTGAGATCAAGTGCTGACATAAATCAATTAATAATATTACCAATAATAACATTCTTCATATTCTTTAAATTAAAAAGTAAATTTTAAATGCTTCAAATTTTGATGTTAATTTTATTTTAATTTCAATATATATAAATTTTTCGTATTTTTGGTCTAATTTCTAGTCGTCAGGCAACAGAGACCATATATATATTACTAATTTACAATTAGTTAATCTCTACGCCTTTCATTTGATGTATTAACATATTTATAGGGTAAAGATTTTTATACAGCTAATGAAATACGGCGTATATACGACCTATATCAAATCAATGTTCCTTATATGAATTATCATTTTATTTTTTTTTCTTTACTGTACGATTATATATATTTTAATCAACAGATTATTAAAAGATATATTAAGACAGCAGATGTAATTTTCTCTTCTTTTTTTTATATGCTTATCTATAAAAGGATTTTTTTTTTTTTTTTTACAACAGGCAATACATTATTTCTCCATTCTGCATTTGTTTTATAGATAGTTCAATTTGTTTTTAAATAGTTAACTTACTTAAGGTTTTTTTTATTTTTTATTTAATGTAACAGATCGTTTGGTTCGAGTTGATCTTTTCTCTGTTCAACTTAGTTGTTCTTAAGAGAATTTGGCTCTAGAATGAAGTTTTTTTCATGTTTCATTGTATTCTATATATACATATATATTATAGAATAACTTCTATAATTAAAGATTAAAGAAAAAACTTTTGATTAAATTTCATTTTATTTTTCAGATTTTTATTATAACAAATCACAGCTAGAGACATGGTAGGTCTTGGTCGAAACATGTTTACATCAAATAAAATATTTAGGCCAATTTTAGATGCGTCATAAAGAAAATTTCAATGAAACTAATGTTCATTCATGAAACATCTGTGCATGTATGGGTGCGTATGTATACGAATAAATATATTATACACATTCATATAACTACGCTTTTATCACTTAATTAACGGGCTCTAGTAATAACTCAACGGTGCGGCAATAATTAGAGAAAAGATTCATGAATATGAATTATTAAAATGAAATAATCAGTACAATCGGATCAGATATTAATTTATTAATTATACAAAGAGATTGAGGAGACATATAAAAAAGCTCTGATTTCTAGTGAAAAAAAATAAAATAAATTAAATGCAAACATTTGAAATGTTTCAAAGAAATTACTAACAAGGGATCGAATTTACGGAAGCGTTCAATGAAACTTTTTTGATAATACTGGGTCGAAAAATACTAGAAAAATGTCCGAGAGTTCTCACCAAAGCGACGTAGGAGCCAAGAAAATAAATATTTTATAAAATTTTATTTTTTTATATAAGGTTTCTTACTTTTCTCTGCATGAATTTTTAATTTATTATAAATCAATCGATTTTTTTTTTGTTATTTGCAATACAAGAAAACATATTGTAAAATGCATTAAATGATTTATAATATATAGTAAATCACAAACACCCCAAAATTCTTCCAGTAAAGTAGATCAAGTAATTATTGTCATTAAAAATGGTTCAAATTATTTTTGCGTCCACTAAAACTCATAAATACAAATTTGTTTTGAAATAAAAAATTTAATTTTTGGACATAATTTTATGAAAAGTTTTTTTTTTTTCATAACGTTTACTAAAATATTCATAACTTCTCCGGATTTTTTCTTAAGTAAACGTTACTGAAACCGTTGATAAGCTAAATTATTGCTCTCTAAAATCATATGAATAACTTTTAGATTTTACGCCTTTATAAGGAATAAATAAATAAAAAGTAAAAGTTTTTATTTTTTTATCACCAAACCTAATTTATTTAAGGACATCTAGTTAGTGCCATTTAGTGTATATTGTAATATAAACTTTTTTTTTTTACTCCTTAAGCGCATTCGCAAGAACCGCGAATGTTTTACAATAATACTATATTTAAAACACTTGCTTGGATATCATTATTATTTTTTTCACTTCAAACCAAAAATAAGAAAAAGTTAAATTGATAACGTTAAGTGATGACACAATGTTAATTCAAATATTCGCAGAAATATGAAGATATCAGACAGATAAATGTGATTTTATATTTTAAAAAAGTAAAAACTCTCATAGTAAGAAAAAGAAAATATGACTTATATTATAGATTACAGACAAATATTATCAAGTGACTTCAAGACTAGAAAATTGAGGACTACCAAACCTAAGAAAATTCTTTAAATACGTTTGGCGTAAGATATGCCACGATTTTTTAATCTATATTTGATTCATTTATAACGCTGATGTACATGTATATGAGATTTAACACAATTAACAGAAACATTTACTAAATATAACTTCTTAACTAAACTTCTTAAGATAAATAACATGAAAACACATATGAATAATCAACTAATATAATAAATTGCTAAAATAGTGATAAGAAAATAGACTAAATAAAATTTCGTGGATGGCTATGAAGAGTTTGTTTCTTAATTTAAATGATCGTAAAAAAGGAGATAGTATCAAAATAATTACGTAAAAAAATGCATCTTCACTTCTTTTTTTTTTAAATCTTAAGATAAAAAATTATAAAACATTTTAAATAATTTTGTTATGTAGATGCATTGTGATATCTCTATGCATTGCATGTAATTCTTGACTAATCAAAATCATTAATTCTTTTTGGCAACCAAAGTTACACTGATTTCCAAAAATAAATGTTTTTAAATTTTAATGATTGTAATATCTGTTTAATTTCATATAACCTTATCTTAATTTTAAACAGCGATAATTCGATGGATTTTTTAATCTATTAATGCTGAAATCGTAAAATAATTTTCTTTTTAAAAATTGCCAATACAGTTTTTTACGACTTTAAATCGTCTCTGATCATAATAACATTGCAACATAATAGGCGGGAGAAAGTCAGGCATGACAGAAAAGTCATTTTTTTCTCTATATATTTATTCGATTGATAACGATAAAATATTTACCCCCTCTCCATGTTTATCTTTACGGATATTATGTTTTCTTTTTTACTTTACGTTTGAAAAAAATTAAATGGTATCATATAAATTAATCGAGCACCATAATAAATAAATATATAAACAGACTACTAAACTAGTGATATATTAAACTATAATGTTAAATAAGAAATAAAAAATATTTATAAAAGCAAAAGACAATACGTTTATTCTAAAGGAATAGGAAATTAAAAATAAAAAAACTAGTTAAAATGTCACAATAACATCTTATGATATATAATATAAAATATGAAAAAAAAATGTACATACACACCTAAAAAGGATAAAATTAAGATAATTTTTTTTTTTGTAAAATAGAATTCAAAGATAAGGAATAATGATAATAAAATAGGCTTTAAAAAAAAATCAAACTGTTTATATTTTATTTGAGTAATTTATGTTTCTTTTAACAAAAAAACTTTGAAAGTTTGAGAAAAAAGACTAACAGTAAAATGAATTGAAAAAAATAATAAATACTTTTCAATAAACTGAGTACCTACTGTTTGTTCAACTGAATGAAATCGTCATTATCAGGTGAGTTGTAAGTTTACCTAATAATTGGGAACAAGATTTTTTTTTTTTTTTTGTTTTGATAAAGTCTGATTAAAATGACAACTAATTTTTATGCAATGTAAAAAACTACAAAACTTGTTTGAGAAATCCAATACATTACTCAAGTTGTCAATTAGAAAAACAATGTTCATGATGTACTACCGTTCCGTAATACAACACAAATTATCATATCATAATACAGCTAACTTAACATGAGTAGAATTTAATACAAAAAAATAACAACAGAAAAACAACAAAATATATTTAAATTATTTCAAAAAATGGATACATTCATGAATAAACAATTAAACAAACAAACATAACCAAGCATGACAACATACTAACAACAATGTTAATGAATAAAACATCAAATACATTATATAACATATATTTAATTGGTCAAGTCTTGTGAATATAAACAATATATTTACATACCTCGGCGGTTAAAAGGCCGGACTCGAACAGCCACTCGAATTTTATCACTAGCCATTATTATACGTTGGAACAAACGTACGAAGAAGAATCACTTAATTTAAGCATTAAAAAAAAGATAAAATTTCCACTTATTCACATATTTACCCCATCCCAGACGAGCTTATGCCCTGTCAACAAGGTTACACGGACCTTCCGAACCACGACACTAGTCGCCATATTACTTTTCCTACCTCTTATCGATCACTTTTAATTCTAGATTCCTAGTGTTCACTGCTTGTACGATTGTCATTTCTATAATAATTATTAAAAGGTATTATAATAAAGAGAATAATCAACTAATAATTAAATTGTGACCTATAAATTAATTATATCATTACTGTTCATAATAATGCAGAAAAATTAAAAATTAAATTTACATCAAATTAATCAAATAAGACATTAAATTTGATCCAAGACAGAAGAACTTCTTTTAAAAAGTTTATAAATCTATTTATTTATTTGTAAGTTTTCAATTGCAAGCAATTCTTCGTATTTACTTAACTTAAATTTGGTATCTTTGCAAATATACTTCTAGAATATGGATTTTAAATGTACCTTTCCAACAAATTAGCTATTATGCATCAATAAAATAAGCTATTAATACATTTAATCTATTAAAAATTAATTTAATAAAGAAATTTTTGAACTCGATACTATCTGTTAAGATGATATCGATTTTTCCTAACCGGGAGAAGGTTACTCTTCTGTATGGGTTCGTTTTTAGATGACAACTGCAATTCTAAACAGAAGTAGAATGTCTGAATTATTCGGTTGGGATTTAATGTATAAAGTGTCCGAAAAGGACTTGAAGAAAAAAGAAGATGTACTCACATTATTTATTCATTATCTTCTCATCAAAACCGGTTACAAATGTATAGGATTGGGTGAAGATGTGGGTTTTGATTGATTAATTGTGGAACAACTAGTTTTTCTGTTCCTTATCACCTTTTTTTTTTTTAATTGTAGAAAGCTCTGACTGGAAATGAAGTTACTACTGAAACCTTACCTACTGAGTGGAACAAATGTGGCACATATTCTATTCGATACATGTATAATAATAGTTTATTTATCTTAAAAGGTATTCCGCTTGAAGAGAATATCGTCTATAACTTACTTGTGAGTAGTGGTGATAACTATTATATTAGTTTGTAAAATATGTTAACAATTATTGACTGAAAGTTTCGGTCTAATCTGAATATCAACATAAGTCGAATGACATTTTATTAAAATTATAAAATACTCATTTTTAATGATTTTTCAAGTTTAGCTCATTTATCTTATGAAGTTTTGCTTTATTATTGTTTAGCTGCATTCAGTTAAAAAAAAAAAGAATATTATTTCCAAATTTTTGATAAGAAAATGGACCTGACAACAAATTTGAATTGAATCTTAAAGATAAAACAATAATTTTATGTATATTGTAAAAGAATTATGTCTTATATTTATTATGTGTTTAAATGGTTATGAGACTATTTAAATACTTGAATCTTCTACAACTTTTAAAATGGACTTTATTTTATATTAAATTGTCCAATTTTTTTTAATATGGAAAGTTTAACAACTTTTGTGCAATAATTTATATTGATTATCTGATTCTGTAATTATTTTTTAGAGTACGATTCATGAAACATAATTGAAAGTGTTTATCTCCTATAAAATATACTTTATCATTTAGTTGAAATATTGGTTATCTAGCTTGTTTGATTTTGCTTGTGTAGCTGGAGAAATTTATTTATTTTATTAATTAATACTTTCGAAATTATAACATTAACTTCAATATGTTCATTAAACGTTGATGAAAATTTTCTGTTTTCTGATTCGTTTCATTTTGTTAACCTACTAAAATTGAATCTGAATATTGTAAACTGAAATATATATTTTTAACTTTCTGTTAGCTACAAATACCAGCAAATATTTTTTATTCACTTAATTTTTGATTATCTTGTACTAAATCACAGACTTTACAGTTGACTTATCGGTTAAATGTTTTTGTTTATTCTGCTTCCTGTAATGACAGAATAATTTAACCTGCATAAAATGTTTTAAGTAAAAAATAATGTTATATATATTCTTGTTTAGCTGATGGGCTATTGTGAAGGTTATAGGTATGAATTTGTTATACCGTCAGGTAACATTGCCATTTCCTAGTTACCATAACAAAATTATAAATGTTTCTTTGCAGCAATTATCCATTATTTGTCCATAAGGATGTGATACTTAATAATTACACCTTGAATATTTATTTATATATCAAATAGGTATCTTATATTTCTTCACATTGATAGTTGTGTTCTTAAAGTTAGTAATACAGAAGATTATACTATGAATCATTCTGATGTTTTGTTTAATTTATTTTAAGTTTTAGTGTAATCTCATTTTTTTAGCATATGTTCTGGGGAGCGTAATATCACTAGCTTGGAAGAAGACTGGCTTAACTCAAAACACGATTTTTAATAAATCATTATCTTTTGGAGAGTTTTTATTCAAATATTAACTATTTTGCATGATCAATGATTATAGTTAGGCAGTATTTGAAAATAAATTAAGTCTGGAGTCCTCGTCTTTTCCCAAGGTAGAGATGTGTTTTAAAAAATGGAAAACTTGGTGAAAGAGAGGAATTAAAGAATTTGTGTACTTTTATATTGTGAAGTTAGCGTGGAGATTAACAGTGAGGGGCTTAAGATTTTTTAAGGTTTATTTTAAATAAATGAGATGAGCTAGGAATTGAATAATCAAAATAAATGGAAGTTTAAAAGTTTGTTTCACTGAAAAAAGTGTAAGCATTAATAGAATTTTGCTCGTAATTCTGTCGAGTAAAATTTTAGTTGTTCATAGCAAACAAGGATTATTACAAGAGGAACATAAAAATAAGATTGTTTTGGCTCCTAAAATAAATCAGTACAATTATTAATTTTAACTTCATTGTTTTATAATTATATTTTAATGTGATAGTGAAAAATTACCTTATCACTTATGGTAAAAACTGATTTCACTTTTTATGATTTCATGGTTTAGATATAAATTTGTTTTTTATTAAAATCCTTAATATAGACAATTATATCCTTTTGTAACATACTTTGGTTTGTTTTCCTCAAATTGCTGAATTGAATTCAATGAATTAAAATTTAAAAAATGTAAATGTCGTAAACCAATGACTTCCCGTCCTTCAGTATCCTTTAACAACACCTCACTTATTCCTGTTGAACAAATCCGTTACCTAGGACTCCATCTGGACAAACGTCTAACTTGGAATCCTCATACCAGACTAAAACGACAAGAAACAGCTCGACGTTTCCAACTACTTCAACACTTATACAACTACTTGACAAACGCTCTAACCTTCCAATTAATTATAAAAGACTCATTTACATGACTATAATAAGGCCTATTTGGACTTATGGAGTTGAGCTATGGGGCTCCACTAAACCTTCAAATTCCTCTCGCATCCAATCCTTACAATCCAAAATCCTTCATAAAATCCTCAATGCTCCTTACTTTGTTACAAATAAAATTATCCATAATGACCTTAATGTTCCTTATGTATCAGATTTGGCCCAATCCAGATATCTGTCCTTCCATAATAAACTTCATAACCATCCTAACCCTCTTGTTTCTAACCTTGCTTCCTATTCAATTCCTGATAACCCTCCGATGCGTCTTAAAAGAAGATGGCCACGTGATCTTCTGATATAGACATATTATTAGAGTGCTACCAATGGGTAGTTTCTCAACATGTGTTTCATGTCATTATATCCATGTGCGAATTTACTAGATGTATTTTTTGTATACAGTTGTAAATATCATATAAATAAATAAATAAAAAAAAAATGTAAATACATACTTAAATTAATGAAGGCTTTAGAATACGTGTTTTCTACAATTGGTCTTGAAAAGCTTATAAAATAAAAATATCTAAATCTGAAGATGATTTACGTAAACATTTTATTTTTTATAGAACTTAGGATTTTTTTTTAAAAACAAATTTTAGTTGTTGAAAATATTAATTACCTTATTCCATATACTGAACATTTTGTTTTTCTTCTGAAAGAATTCTGGAGAAATGAAGGTGACCAATGCTGCATTTAACGTTCACAATACAGTGGGAGCAACTTCTGGACCATTATCAACTTTGATCCCTTCTCATGAAGACGTCATGAAGAAGCTTCAGCAGGAATTCATTTCTCCTATGGGAAATGGTAACACAAGGGAAGCGACCACTCAGGCCTGTGGGATAGGGACTGGGCCGGGCAGGGTACCTCCAGATCTGCATAGACCATACGCCAGACCAACAAATCCTCTCTACGTTGGGCCATCTGGACCTGCTGGGCCAACGCCTTTAAGACCTGATCCTTTTTGGTAAATATTTTAAGTTCATCCTCAAATTATGTTTATTTTATGACTAATTATTTTGGTGCTTCTTCACAAGTGTTGCTCAACTTCGATGGATGAGCACTACATCTCATTATCCGGAATTCTGAGAATGACCAAGTATTGACATATTCATTGTATTGTATTCCTCCAATTTAAGTCCTCTGTACACTCCCTTACCACAAGTTCTCGACCCTCTGACTTATATCTTTATTTTCACAGATCCACCTCATTTCAATACTTCTTTGTTGCCTGCTCCACCACATTCAGGAATTACCTTCCTCTACAAATCTGACATGCTCCTTCCTTGACCACATTTAAAACCCTCTTATTCCTCTTCATTTTAACAACATAGATTCTGGATAACCATATAATACACTACATGATTTCGCTTTTGATTAATCACATTGGAATATGCACTTAAATTTCCTACAGTATATTGAATTAGTTACGTTTAACTATATGTACTTGATTTAGATGATATCTTTAAATTTTGTTTATTTCTACTCAATATTTTTCTCCTTTTTTTATTGCACATTTTTTTTTATTTACTCAAATATCTTTAGATAACAGAAATAATTTTCATTTTTTAGTAAGAGATTTTACCAATTTATTAGAGGAAACCTATCACATTTTTACTTTTACTTACCTATATATAATATATAGTAAGGGAAAGTATTGCAATCGTGAACATTTTTGAATCTCAGATTTCAACGGAAATACACATTTTGAGCTCCTCTAAGTCAAAATAACCAAGTTTCACAAAATGGTCTGTGTGTCTATATGTATATATTGTAATGTCAACATTACATGGCATTTAAATAGTGGCGCGCGTGCGGATGGTGGGGGAAGCAAGCCTAATGTAACTCAGAATGTGACGGGCCGCCAAGGGAGAAGGTGATAGTGGCCAAGAGAGAAGGTTATGAGCCGCCAAGAGAGAAGGTGACGGGCCGCCAAGAGAGAAGGTAATAGCGGCCAAGAGAGAAGGTTATGAGTCGCCAAGAGAAAATGTGACAAGCTGTCAAGAGAGAAGGTACTAGCCAGCAAGCTGAGAAAATATAAAAAGGAGTCCTAGCCGGTTCGAGTGTTGATAGAGGCCACTAGTGAAGATTATTTTATGTTGGAAGAAAACAACATAGCAGAAAATAATTAAGTGGTACAGAAAACGGGACATTCGTAAGTAAGAAGAGATTATTTCGCTGGCAGGCGTAAACATTTGGGTGAGTGCTAACAATGCCATTTATGTTGACAGAGGGATAGAACCAAAAGTTTAGACCGGGACAAATTATTTTATAAAATATTTTAAATTATAAATAAGTGTAGTTAGTAATTAGTAAATTAGTGTAGATTGTAGTTATTAAATGTTGAATGAGTGTTCAGTTGTCAGAACCCAACCTGAGATTTATGTTATATGTGTTAAAATAAATAGTATATTGAAAAAGGAAACTCGTTGTTTGATTTATGTTGACAAAGGGAACGTTACAATATGTTAACACTCTAGCTCAAAAAGTCGTAAGAAACTGATATTACGTATTTAAGGTTTGTATATGGCTCAGATGTGACTTTTTCCTTATAATTGGCTAACCGTAAGTGACACTTTATATCAACGATGATAAACATTTTCACGATTTTCTCAAAAACAGCTCTAACAATTTAGATTAAACTCGGTATGTCAGTGTATTATTTAAGTGTTCTTTAAGATCAGCTAGGTCTTATCCATATTGATGTCACCTTACAGCACTTAAATGCCCAATGTTCATATATTTCTTCCTTTAAAGTACCTTTGATACGGTTTATTTTAAATAATTAACTATTTCTCATTATTAAGAGTCACAAAAAAAATGTTAAATATAATTTTTGAAAGAATTTGATAATTGAATAAAAGATAAAAAAAAAAAATAAAAATGCTTATCCAGGTCGAAAATGAATTCCCGGAAATAATAGTCAGAAGATATACGTATAATATATTGTTGGAAAGCGAAGAATTTTAGAAAAAACAATATCTAATATAGAAAGTCGTAGAAGGTAATGGAGAGTGACAAAACATTATAAATAATAATTTCCAAAAACTAATATTATTTAACAGAAACTACATGTTTCCAAGAAAATAATATGAAATTTCTTAAATAAATATAAATATTTAAAATTATGTTTAAGTTTGAAAAAAATGCTATAAAATCCACTGAATCAAGGCAATGACATTGATAAAAAACTTATTTCACTGTACATGTGTTTATAACCTTACTTATTCATAATTAAATAAATGTACATTCAAATTTCTTTTTGTGTATAAAACTCAGAGACTGGAGTTATGTGATTCAAATAGACTTATGCAGTTACAAGGTTTTTATTGCCAATAATGGATATAATGAATAGAGTTTATGTTATTTTGATGGTCTTAAGGAGTTTTTGTATTTATAAGTATGTCCAAAAATCAAAAATATATTGTTCGAGGTTTGACTCCATTGAAAATGTGCTTCCAAAACTTCCTGTAATAACTCAATTTTGTCATACAAGAATTTCTTTTTAAAGCAGAGCAGTAAGTGAAAGTTGTGTGTTGCGCCACCATATTTTTTTTCTTTTCATTTTACCATTATTTCTTAGTTTTCTTTTTGTTAGAAATATGTTTTATTTTTCTGTAACTGCTGCTCCCTTTCTTCAGATGATGATTTATGACTTCTCTAAACTCCTAGGTGCTTCTTTTTATTTAAAATCGTGGCCATAATTAGCAATCATCACATTTCTGCTTTTGAGTCCTGTTCACTCAACAGATATCAATAAACCCATGAGTAGTTTTCACTTGAACTCAGGGATTTTAAAGAGAGTTTGTTCAGCTCTTTCTACTTTTAAACAGACTCAGACATTTTCGACATTCCATATACAATGTGATCATGAGATCCTCCGCCCACCCATCATGGTGGAGCAACATTTTGAAGTAGTACCTTTATTTTGTATTTACATGCTCTTTCAGAAAGCCCTATGGTTATTTTTTGTATTTTCATGTTTACCATATATTAAAAAACATTAGTTTAGAAAATTTTCTGAAATAATTAAATTGCTATCTAGAAAAAGTAATCTTTTACCACATTTTATGACTTTGATACATTTATATATATAGAATCTGATAATCCCATATCGGATGATAAAAATTTGTCTTAGTATTTATATTTAAAAGGAAATTGCAAAATCTGTTCAGTTGTAAATAATCATTCTCCACTTTAAATGAGGTGAAATAAATATAAATAGGTTGATTTTTTTTTTAATTTTCTTCCATTAATGAAATGATTATTTGAGCTATATTTGAGGTCAACTATACATATATTTAAATATAAGTTTTAAAAAATCCATATGAGTGTGCTCAGGGCTTTTAAGTCATTCCATAGTTCTTTTTACTTTCCCTTATCTATATATGAAATATATAGTAAAGGAAAGATTTTCGAAACTCAGTATTCAACGGAAATACATGTTTTGAGGTTCCCATAGTCCAAATAACCAAATCCCGCAAAATGGTCTATGTGTGTGTTAACAGTCTAGCTCAAAAACGAAAAGTCATACAAAGGTGAAATTGCATATTCAAGGTTTTTATATGCTAGGGATGTTACAGCATTTAAATAAGATGTAGTTTTTATTCCGATCGATGTTCTTTAACAGGGCTTAAATGGCTAATATTCAACATTAGCTTCCCCTAAAGTACCTTTAATTTTTTATTTGAAACACTTGACCATTTCACATTAATCTCTAATATGAAAGATAAATAAATATAAATTTTTTTAATTAACTAAAGGATAAATAAGAGATTGTAACAGAGAATAGTTGTAATTGAGGAACCAAAAGAATACTAACGCACCCAAAAGATAAGAACACGCTTCCATACATAATATGAGCTTAATATAATACGGGCTCTGACAACATTATATAAATATACATATACGGTTTTCATAAATGCTATCGTTGTTATTATTTAATATTTAATTGTATAGATTACTGCAATATAAATATTAAAATTTGTATATATAAGAGTACTCATACAAATAAAAATAACCACAACGAAATATAAATAAATATAGTGTCTATAATTTTTACTCTCACTTCCCCTTTGTCTGGAAATACTTGTTTCTGCTAAGAAGAGGTAGATAAGTGAAAGTTATGTGAAAGTTATTTTCCCTTCTTTGCTGGAGACAATTCATTACATATTAATTATAAATGATTACTCGTTTACTTATTTTTGCACATTTTGGGTTATATAAAATCAAAACACAAGAAAAGCTGACTTAAATGCAGGGCATGTAGTCTACTCGTCATCGTACATGTTGGAAATTCACAGTCAATTTTAACATAGTCATTTTTTAAAACTGTATTTTATTTATTATTGGTGATTTTTCAAATAATAATAATATTACTTTTTTAAAAAATCAACCAAAACATCCACTTCCAAATGGGGTTCTGGACTGAGTTAGAAAGTACTATTACTCGTCTTGAATGGTTACACAAAGAAATTATGTGTATAATAAAAATGTATTATTATTATTTTATGTTCTTGGTTTAAAATTTATTTGAAGACAAAAACAAAAACCCTGTTAACATTTGTTTTTAACTTATGTGTACATATTTATATTATCGTAAGATTGTTTATGTAATATAATTTATGTAACTTTTGTTCTTGCAGGGCAGATCCTGAGAGAGATCCTCTTCGCGTCGGTCAGTCCGATCTTGATCCGCTCGGTCGTGGAGGAGGTGGTATGATTTTCAATCCTTTTAATAACCAACCTGGTAGTGGATTATTTGACCCATCTACTGGATTACCTGGGCCACCATTACCAAGGTAAATAGTTATTTATTATATATTATATGGGGTATCTTTTTAATATCAAATTTTTTAAAAAAAAATTATTATATTCTTATTTTTATTTTATGTTTTCCATCAAATGTGTTGGTATAAATTAACTAATCTGTACAAATTTGGGTATTAATCAACATTCTACTTTTGAAATATTGTTGACAACTTGAATTTTTCCCTATAACTATGAGAAAACTTTTTTAAATAATACAGAAAGAGAGGATTACTTCAAATTTTACCATTTCAAGATAAAGAAATAAATTTATAATTTTAAATTAAAAAAAAAAAGAATTATTTCCCTTTTTTTTATGTTATCAGGTTTTTTTTTTTAAATTAAAAACTTCTTTAGGCATGCTTTACACTTTGTTGTGGAGAGTGAATTAGATTGATCTATCAGATTTCGTTCAGCATTAACACTCGGGTAAAGTCGGCTAGAGTCGACTAATTAAAATATATTTACATATGGATTAAAATATCTCATAAACTATAAATCGGGCCTGCGTACTGTAAGTAAGGAAATTGTTCAGCATTTCATCCTCTCTGTAATAGGCTATAATTCAAAATTGTATCTTAACGCGACGCCGTGTTAGGCAGGCGAAAAGGAAAAAAAATAATGTTGAAAACCAAATGATAAGGTTAGTCGAACATTTGAATTAAAATATTTCAGATACTAATAATCGGATCTGTAAACTGTAAGCGAGAGAAATGTTCAGGATTTCATCTTCTTTATAATGAGCTATTATTTATAATTTATATTTCATATTATTAATCTGCCCTTGTTGATGTTTTCACTTATATCGTGTGGTCTAGAGCACACACCTTAGTTTTTTTATAGTCAATGATCCGATGTTTATTTAAGTTATGAAGGTTATTTATATTATTTTCCTTGTGTTATTCGCGTTATAGTGCATATCGATATAAATATATATATATAAGCCTTTTAGTCGACAGAACTCCAATTTCAACATTTTAGAAGCCATTTTAGTTGGAAAATTTATAATATCTGTACAGATAGTGAGTTAGTTGGTTAGGTGATTGCTGTGTTGAACTGTAGAACTGTGGATAAAGTTATAAATTTTCCCACAAGAAATTTCACTAAAATTAATAATACATTTTTTTTTTTTTTTTTTTTTTTTTTTTTATTGATAAATATTACAATCTGTCTCAATAAAGGACATTTATAATAGAGTTCTGAGAGCACATTCACACCATATTTACAAATAAAAAAAAATAAGCTAACTTCAAATAATATAAAGCTACAAAAGAACAAAATAAAATATCATAGTGAGAAAAAAAAAAAAAAAAAAAATGAAAATAAACATCTTAGACGCAGGCATACCTATTACACTATTTACAGTCGGCCATAGGAACTCCGAACCATACTTATCCCCCCACACGTGAAGAAAAAGCAAGGCTTCAGGAGATCCCTGCGCTTCTTTCTCAACCATTTCACTGGCATTGAAAGCCAGCGGAGATTGAGTAAGGGCGCTACAACCACGGACACTCATGACTTGAGTGGAGAATCTGGCCATTGCCAGAACTCCAGTAATAAAAAATATTAAATTTGAAGTTAGTCATTCTGTCAACTTAAAGGCTCATATAAGCATCATTATTTGAATATACATTGATGATACTTACTTTAAAAGTGTAACAGCGACATACAAATATAATGATTAATTTTTTATTTTCATAACTTCTGTAGCTTAATATTTCCATAATCATTTTCTTTATTATTTAATTTTTTTTTATTTATGATATTTATAACTGTATTAATATAAATACATCAAGTAATTGTGAACACAGAAATATAATCACATGAAAACGCTTGTTGAGAAACTACACACTGGTAGCACTCTAATAATATGTCTACACAAAGAGATCAGGCTGCCATCTTCTTTTCAGACGCATCGAAGGATTATCAGGAATCGAAGAGGAAGCAAGGTTAGAAACAAGAGGATTCGGATGATTATGAAGTTTATTATCGAAGGATAGGTATCTGATTTGAACCAACTCGGAAACATATGGAACATTAAGGTCTTTATGAATTATTTTATTTGTGACAAAGTAAGGCGCATTTTAAAATATATGTTTCAAAAAGTGCCTCTCAATGTTTGTCAACAGTCGACATATCTAATTTGGATATGTTAATAGAAGAAGGTTTGAATAAAAATTATGAAAGTGTTTCCTATTTTAAGTAAGATAATTTGAATGTAATTATATCGAGATTTTTTGAAACTATTCCTGGTCTTCCATTTTAAAATCCTACAGTATATTGTTCTAGAAACAAACTGTAATTCTTGATGAAAGCCTATTAAATGCCATGGGATACTTATTATGTGTTTAGTTTTCAAAAATTGAAATATTTCTATTTATTATAGTCTTTGTCGACCTAAAAATATATTGAAACAGAAGATAGAGAAGAATAATTCTATAACCCCTTTGGTACTTGCAATAATATAGGAAGAAACTTTTTTTATATTTTTAATAAATAAAAAATATATCCAGGTATAGCAGCTATACTCTCATTAATAGATTTCTACAGCCTTAGTAGTAAGTGAGAGAGCTACAACCCAAGACTCTTCTGCACCAAACAAATAGTTCTTGAGCAAGTATAATATTGTGGATTAGTATTAATTCAGGCATAGCTGTTTCTTTTGCTTGACTATTAAACTAAAGAGATGTTTTCCTGTGAGACATGCTAATCACTTATTAAATAAATTGTTTCTTTAACAGTCATGGTAACATATGAAGCTTCACCTGTTTTATATGTTAGATATACACATACTAGCTTGATAATATTATTTTGTATACATTAATAAACATGATTCGCTGACGTCGCTTGCCTATACATAAAATGCATTAATGAGGATAGCTATCTATGTATGAGTTCTCACTGGTAGTCTGTGGTACTGACCCCTTTTTATCAAATTATTAACATCTGCCTGAATTTCATAAATAACTTCATCTCATCCTAACCTACAAATATTTTATTTATGAAAATTCTCAGAATAGGAACGTTTTCAATCCGGAGGGGGACAAACTTTGCTATTTAATTAGGTACTAAAAACTCGTAAGTACACATTTGATTTCCGCCTGAATTGTAAGATGATTTGATCATAAAATCGAGAAAAAAGGTGCCCTTCAAAAATATTGAACCATTTGGCATGATCTACAATCCCAAGTTGTCAAAATAACGAAGTTTTATAGGACAAATGGCTCAATATTTTTGTATGCCACCTTTTTTATCGATTTTTTGATGAAATTATCTTACGATCCAAGTACAAAGGAAATGGGTATTTACGAGTTTTTAGTACCTAATTAAATAGACAAAGTTTTTCCCCTCCCCCCTCCAGATTGAAAACGCCCCAATTCCAAGAGTTTTCATAAATAAAATTGGGTGCTTGTCGGTTAGCCGTACAGGACCGACTGCTATCTGCCAATGGTTATAACCTCAACACTGATAATTCTGATAAAGCTTCTCATAGATCCTATCTTCGTATTCATATTTATTGTAATTTATATTCATATTTATTGTAATTTATATTCATGTTATTGAAATTGTAAACAAAAACAAATGTAATAGTAACAAAACAGTTTGGTTTGAAACTGAAATAAACAAAAAAAAAATGTAATAATTCCCATGACAATGAAAAAACACTTTAATTTTACAAAACATATATGAAATAGACAAAAATAAATGAAATAATAGAAAAACACTTAAACAACATATGTACATATAAATGAAACAATATAAACAACGAAATCATCGATACCTCTAATCACGCTCCTTTCCTTATAGAAACTTTTTTGTTACAAATGGTACAAAAGCATCTCCATTTTGCCTTCCTGTCTAACTTCATTTGATGACCCTCTTGACTCAATTCACGTTTGGAATCATCCCAACGTTTTGAAAATATTCAATACCCTCTTCTTTGATTTCACGAGAATAACAGAAATGGAACAAAAATAAACAATGGAATAACTCATAGCTTTGATGAGATAAGAAGGAAGGTTATGTGATGTAACATTTGAAAACATGGAAGCTTTCGTCCAGGCCTCCTAACCGACAAGTACCTAAAATTGTTGTAGTTTACGATGAGATGAAATTATTTACAAAGTTTAAGGCGGATGTTAATAATTCTATGAAAAGGGGTCTGTACCATGGACTATGGTTTATATGAGTTATGCAGTATTTGCATTTGTATATATGTTGAAATCCATGTAGACACACGTTAAAATTTAGCTTTATCAAAAGATTTCTTATGGTTTTCTTGCAATAAACTAATGATACATATGCTCTACCAACAAAACTGAAATTATTTTTTGGTTAGAATAATATTGTGTTCATGAATTCTAATCAATTTATATATATATATATATATATATATACTTTTTCAACAGAGGTTCAGTTCCACCTGGTGCAAGATTCGATCCATTCGGACCACCCACTGGCTTGCCTCGCCCTCGTAGACCACCTGGTTCGGACGACTTCCCACCACCTGGTTTCGGCGACATGTTCATGTGACCGCCTATGTCATGCTTCCAGAAATACTGTCTATTTTTCTTTGTTTTAGTTTTCCTCTACCTGACCTATGTTTACATTGTAATATCATTATATTATATATTTTCAACCGATTATTGATTTGGATCGGCGCTGAATTTGTATCTGATGAGATCTTATCAATATTACTACTATATTAGTCGTTTTGTACATTTTTTTTTTTTTTTAAATATAAATGTTGTTGGTGTACTGTTCTTACTTATTTCAATGATATTTGACTAAATAGTAATATTAAGACTGTATGTACATGTAATTCTCAATAAATATATTATATATATGTGTATGTTATTGTGATTTGTTCAAATTGAAGATCCTTTCTATTATTACTTGTACTTGTTGACTAACTTGCTGTAGTAACCATTTAGATGTAAAGATCCATTTACATGGTTATTTCTTAATCGAAAATTATTTCCATTTAATATGTAATTAAGTGCATACATTTTGAACAACCAGAAATGATCATCATGACCTTTATTGGATCATTTGCGTGATTAAGTTTCTTGATCGAAATCGTGCTGGAGGCATGGTATTGCCTAAATGGAAAAATGTAAACAGGTTTAACATTTACTTTGACTTGTGACTTATGTTATGAAATATACCGAAAATATCTCGATAAGTATTTTTAAACCAATTGAGTTAATAACTGTTCAAATATCTTTAGCCAATTTATATAACCTAGTTATTTCAACATTTTTTATACATTATTTAATTTCTCAAATGTTCTATATTTTTAGTTAGGATAAAATTTAAGAAATTAAAACTAAGTTACAGCTACAACAATTGATGTTTTATGTAAGGGATGGGCGATAGTCGATAGTTTTTCACTATCGATAGTTCGGTAGTTTAGTAACTTCCCGGCACAGACTTAGAAAGGATTTATTTTCAGTTTATTCTTTAGTTATTTACTTTAAAATGCTGCATAAGCTTTATAATTATTAACATTTATATTAGATACATTCTTAAATATTAATGTTAAGGCACTAATAAAAATGATTAAATAAATAATTAAAAATATTATTGAAGGAAAAATACATTTATATAGAAAAAGAAATTGCATTTATTTCCCTGATCGTTAAATTCAAACAAGAAAAATCGACGACATACAGGTAGTATTGTTTTAACTATTTGGTTAAAAACGGAGGCGAGACATGTGGGTGTTTTAATGTCCAAGATTCTAAATTTAATTTGATAATAATATCTAGTTTAAAATATAATAGAACTGTAATGGCATCCTTGTAGATTTTATAATTATATTTCTTTATGAAAAAAAAAATTAAAAAAGGTGAGGTAAATGTTTATTCCATCGGAAATTGTTAAAATATTTCTGAGAAAGTAATTTGAGATTGGATTATTTTATTTTCTTGAAGGCTTCTTCTTTTTCAATTTTATATAGTACAATAAGAATAGTTTTAAACACGCTTTCACACTTCTATTTTTCCATTTATTTTCTTAATGTGGCATTCCCATTAGATATAAAATAATCCTTTTCCATTATCAAACATTTAACTTTTACGCTGTTATATTATCACAATATCTAGTTCATCAAGAAATGTGCAGAAGAATGAAGGCATGTTATTACAATTATTCCTTTAAGTATATAAAATTTTAAAATAATTTTTGTCTAAGGGGAGGATGCAAACTATTGATAGTCAATAAGACTATCGATATATCGATAGTGCTATCGACTATCGCCCATCTCTATTTTATGTGTTTAGAAATTTCTCAGTTTTCAATTGTGAACTTTCTTTATTTCCGGTTTACTGTGATTCTTTATACCTTTAGTGTTTACAAAGTAAATGAGAACTCATTCGAAAAGAGTAAAAGAATAAAATATTTAGGTTTTATCTGTCATTGAGGTCCAACATTATGTAATCTGAAGTTTAAAGTTTTCAAATAAAATATGTTTTGAGATTCCATAAGGAAAGAAAACAACAAATCTTGAGATCACATGCTTCAGAAACAATTTACTTAGCGTTTTTCTTATCATTAAGGTCTATTTTATATTTTATCAAAGGTGTAGTTTTTGGAAAATACAGTCAATGTTTTTGGATTTAGTATGATCCAGTAATATTGTAATGTAGGCTTATGACCTTAATCGAAAAAAAAAAAAAATCTATTAGTTAAAATAAATTTGATATGGGAGCCTAGAATCTCAATATTGAAGAACACCTAAAAGTTAAAAGTAATCGATATATAAGCACATAATTTTGTAATTGATTTTTTTTTTTTTTTCAATTTTGCCTCTAATAACACAGTTTGGATCTTAATAGGAATAAAATCAGGTATGCTTAAATAGATCTATAAGCAAGTGCAGAATCTCAAAATCAATATAGTTTGCCAAAAATTGTCCTCCTCCTTCCATGAACATTATAATAATAATCCTTAATATCTATACTGCAACCATAAATGAAATGCCATCCTTATTTCTCTAATTTTCCATAATATTGGAAACAAAAGAAATTATAATGTTATTTTTAAGATTATTTCAGGAATAAAGACAAGGTTTGATTTGCTCATATTTGAAACCGATGATAGTGAAGATTTTTGTTTAAAAAGTGAAGACAAACTTGTAAAAAAATAATGAGTATTTAAACCTCTATCTAATTTTGATCTAAAGTTAAAGGAGTTTAATTCCACTTCTACATTTTAAATTTATTTTTTTTAAAGTATCCATAATTTTAATCATCTGCAATGAGTATAGATATTGTGAGTAATCATGATTACTTTAAACAAGTACTGATGTATTAATGAATACTGAGTACTGAGCAGTATTTGTACTCACCTGAAAATGCATGACAATTACAAATACAGTATTCGAATGAAACTGAACACTGAATTTGTATTCACGATTACATTTTTTGCTGATTACTGTCCAACTCTGTTCTAAAATGATAATATATTTAAAATATTATGAAAACATCAGAAAATAATGTTATAATATGTAAATATGTAATACCATATTATCGCATAAAAAAGCTACATACATTATTAGGATCAAAATTTTGTTAAACATTATTAATAAGATAAATCTTTATTAAAAGTTATACATCAAAATGTAAAAGGAAGTTAACAACCACACTTCATTATCAATGTATATTTTTAGTTTTAATAAAATATATGTATGTTGCAATTAAAATATTAGTGTTATACAATAATTTTAAACTTATCCTGATATGTTCCTCGACAACTTCATATTGTAAAAAATAAAAACAAACAAAAGACATAACAAAGGAAGCCAAGTCATAAATAATTTTTTTTCTTTTCATTTTTCATAAAAAATACTTTTTGCTATAGGTCTTATTACAATTAAAAAGCTATTATTATTGAATTAAATCAACCTGTTAGATATTTGATTTTAAAGTTTTCTAAAAAATAAAATTATTAATGGTTAATGACTTAACAACCTTTATACTTATCATTTACTCATGACAATTTGAGATTCAGAAATCTACTTATACAAAGTTACTGTACAAAATTCAGTTTACCCTAAAATATTACAAATAAACTTTTTATTGTTCATTAAAGCTTTTTAATGATGTAAATGCTCACGACTTTTCATCTGATTTATTTATTTAATTTTTTACCAAATGCAGTCGAACTTCTTCAATAAAAACAAAATCATCATAAGCTTACCTAACATTTTATAATTTGATTGGAAACTTTAATTTTAAATAATTGTTACCTCTAATATTATTTTTTCTCTTTATACTAAAAAAATATATAATAAGATAAATTGAATTTAATAAAAAGGTACTATGAAAAAAATCCCTCAAAAGATCAGTAAAATAGTGCTCTATATATTTTTTTATTATGCATTGTGAGGTAAAATCTAGCAATTAATTTATTTTATGGTTAAAATAAAAATATATAAAATGATATTAATATATATTTATAATATTATTATTAGCTGATGGTTAATTATATTACTACATTTGTACATTGCATATTTTCTATTGATTTAAAGCCATTATTACATTTCTCCCTCTTTCCCTGCTCTTAATGGTATATCTTTCCAAAAGGATACACCATACTACATAATATGAAGTTCGACTGTACTTGTGATGGAATTATTATTTATTTAATTAGTTACTTTATGAAATACATACTATATATATCTTTTCTGAGAAATAATACTTATTGAGGAATATACAGGATTCCTAATTTAAAATTTATGGTAAAAATTGAACATAGCTAAGTGATTTTTGTAAAACTAAATACAAAATGCTGATACTTTAGATTAGGGATGGCCAACCTTAAATACTCATGTATGAATTTTTTTCAGAATTTTAAAATTATTAAAAAACTTGAACCCACTAAAATTGACTTCCTATATTACTGGATTGTACTAAAAATTAAATTATTTTTTAGTATCTTAAATTATATAAATTAATAAAATAAAGAAATTGTAGATATAGCTAACAAAGTAAATAACACAAGTTTATTAAGTTATCTCTCTAATTATAACTGTGTGTATATATATATATATTTATATATATATATATATATATATATATATATATATATATATATATACACTATGTAATAACAAACTAAATTTTTATAAAACTGATAATATTTTTTTATTTAAATTTTTTTTATCTTCTTCATTGTACACTGATTTAACCCTGCAGGCATTGCATATGTAATATATACTATAATTAGTATTATTTTCAATTTAAAAAAAAAACACGATTCGGTACTTGTGTAGTACCCAAGATTCCAATTGAAAGTTCTTGATGCAAATTTATAATTTTATGTCGGTCAAAAATACGATATTTTGCCATTTTTTGAAAAAAAAAAAAAAAAGTAACATTAAATAGAAAACAAAAGAAATTATGAAATATGGAATGTTAAATTAAATTTAAAAAATAAAATAAAAGCGAAGAATATCAATATTAGAGCAATTTTTACAGAAACACTCAGTTATCTAGAATTAATAAAAAGGCTTTTGATGCTAACAATAATTAATAAAGATTAAAGTGGATAACAAAGTAGTAAAATTTAAGCAGTAAGGTAGCAATGTAAAGCCCCTGAAAATAACCTTAACACATCAGTTTCGTCTCTTGGTTTGTTGTTATTTGAAGATAACGCTAATTTAAATATATAGTACATCTACAATGTCTGCTAGATTACATCATTTTACAATTAAGAAGATGAAAACACTTTTAAATTGAAACATTTTTCATTGTTTGAAGACTTTTTCGAACTGGATACATTGTATAGTAATAAGAGTAAAATATCACTAATATAAGTCGGTTTCTGTGACACAATTATTCAAGTACATTTTTTAGATTTTATAGTGAATTATTTTCATACCATTTTGATTGATCTCTATTAAAGTTCCATTTTTCTCTATTATTTTATCAACAAATAATTGAGAAAAAATTTATAATGGGTTGGCCATACCTGAATTAGAATACAGAGCACATTTTTAAAGCCAATTTTCATTACCAAAGTCATCCATCGACCGTTTATAATAATAATAACTATTATTATTATTATTTAATTATACTATATAACAATTATCATTATTACATTCAAATAAAAAATAATTGAAAATAGTCAGTTTTTATTTAATTTTTTTATAATTATTCTAATAAAATACTGAAATTTTTAGATGTTAGTTTAAAAGTTGGATATTTCAAGTTGGACCACATCAAGATAGATTTATAACATAATGTTAATTAATCTATTTATGGCAATATATATTGAAGTAGGAGTTATCATTTGGAAGGAAATATAATATATATTATTCCTGTTCGATTCGACAGCTTACCAATTGAGTACAGGAAATGTATTATATGTACAATAAAATACAACAATAGCGTAACAATTTGTAAGTGCTTTAAGCCCCTCAACCCATTAGTAGTTATGATATATTTCAAAAATTGTCATTAGGACTTATACCTTATTGGAATAAATTTGCAGTGAATTTTATTTTCATCTACAAAATATTTGTTTTTATAGTCTTTCTCACTAAAATTAAATTTTCATTTAAGCATTTTATTAACAACGTCCTTTAATACATTTTAAAACTATAACTTATAATTTTAAATGTATATATTTATATGTATTTTTTTTTTAATATATAGGTAATAACTTACAATATAGAAACTTTATCATATATATACTTGTAATTATTATTTTTTATTTTCACATTTTATAAAAATGATTTTTGGAGTGCACCAAAAGTGAAGATATCTACAGAAGGTTGTGCTAGACCGAAACTATTGTGCTTGGAATATACAAATGTTCCTATAGCAGTATAGAATAAAGAGTTTTAGAACATGGTTCCCAATGGTCATTAGAAGAAAAAGCTAATCCTGAAACTTACCCTCATCACACCATTCTAGTCTATAAAAAACATTTAATTTTTTTTTTTTGTTGTTTTTGGTCAGTTTGAGATTTTCGTGTTTTATAACGGCTAACCAATGGCATAGTTCACTATCATTATTACCTACTTTCCCTGAATGAACTTCATAGATCATTTCATAAATGTTTCATTATGTAAAATATAATAGCCTGTGAATAACTCTTGCTGTACAGAAAGTGAATAGGGTACTTCAGCTGGGGACATATACACTTTTTAATTCTTGTTATCTATGCTTCGGAGGTTGAACTGTACAAAGTTGTTCCACAATAAAAAATATACTCCGTCTATACAAAAAAAAAATAAATAAACAAGTCAAGTGTTGAATTCTACACTAACCTTACATCTTGTCTTAATAACTAATTGTATATTACATTAAACTTACTTTTGTCAAAACTTTAATATAAAGAAATATAGCTTGACTTATTATGTACATTAAAAATAGGTATTCAAGACAAATAGAAAGGTTACACATCAACATTTACACTATATATCGCTCAATTATGTATACTCCTTCGTAAATCTTTGGTCCGATTCTAAATCACTAAGGGCTTTTAAAAGCATCTTCATCCCAGCAGGCACTTATTTTAATATATAAATTTTAACATAACTTTTTTAAGTATAGATATATATTTTTGCATATGTATTTCAAATAATCAAAAAACCACTCAATTGTTAAGCAGGCAATAATGGCAATATATAGCTCTTCCAAACAAGAGAGACATTTCAATAGTCCATTTTAAGTCAAGAAGGATATCCTTCTACTCATACTCAAAAACTTCTATTTACAACCACATCCAAGCATTATATTTTTTTTTACTATAAATTGATTATAAATCACAACCAAAAGAGCGGATGGATTAGGTGACAGGTGCTGGTATATAGGTACCTGATTGTTGGGTTCTTACAACATTCTTTGGATACAGTTGGTCAGCATTGTGCAACATTTCACCAATTATCCTACTTTGTGCTCAAACGATTGTATTAGCCTGAAATAAATATTTATGTGTGAAATGTATTTTTCATTCCTACAATTTAAATAATTACGTTCCTACTCCTTGGTAGACAAAAACAAAAAAAAAATAAGAAGTCATTAACTACCATAGTTTATTTTCTAAGTTTAAGAGGTTGTTCACATTATACATTATTACCAAGAATATTTTGGGTCCCTTCTGCCTTTTATTTTGACTTTAGGTACTTATGTAAATCCTAATAGGAGTAACTCCAGCAGCCAAAGTGAGAAGTTTGGGATTCAATCTATATGTCTGCCAAGATACACAGATTGAAATTTTTTGTTCTTCCCTACCTCGCCTTTGAGGATATACAGGGTCTTTCCGGGAAGAGGGAGGGGTGAGGAGAGGAGAGGGAGAGGGAGGGTGTGGGCAGGAAATTTAAAATCCCTTCTGGCACCGGGATACGAACTTGTACTTCTTAATCTTCCATTACTTTGGCTATCTCGTTGCCGGGCAACTGGTGGTGTTGTGCACACGCGTTAGCCCATTCGGCCACCCCGCCCCCTGTATCTGTCAAGATATTAGACTTGACATTGCTGAAGATATGCCACCAAGACCTCTCTTTTTACCTTTACCTTTATCTATGTCACACTAGATATAAATTACCCCTCTGTTTCCCTTTATGATATTTTATCAAATAACTTTATGTATATAAAAGCATAAATATTGAATAAAAAAATAAAATAAAAGATAGAGGAAAACAATAAATAAATATTTATTTTTCTAGCAACATTGAATTAGTGAAAATGAGGTAGAAAACCATGGATTTGCAACTTGTCATGAATGTATTTCATCAATGAAGATGGAATTTTTCAGACTTCTAGAACTTGCTTGTAAACAAAACATAATATTGTTTTTCATTATTCTTTTATTTGTGAACATTGTAGTGTTCTGATATTTAAAAAAAAATCATTTACTTCTTTAATTTAGCAAGAGAAGAATAAATATTTATAATAAAAACATTAATGTAAGGAGAAATGCATTCCTCTGCAAAAGCCTGACCTGAAAAGTCTCTCTAGTTTGGTCGGACCATAATTCGCATTGAATGGTTTTACTATTTTTTTCGGCGACCCAGCCTTTTGGCAATAATATATAATAAATACTAGAAGCTAAAAAAGTGTGAACAAAACTTCATATTTTGAATGAAAATATAAAAATGATACATTTTTTTTTCCATTCTCAAATATCAATGTTTTGGACTTTAAATTTAGCTACTCATTTTTCACTAATTTTTGTACTTTTTAAAAGATTAAATATAAAAATTATAAAATAATAGATTTAATATATTATTTAATCATAAATTTACAACAGTATAGATTTTTTTTTAATTCTCAGGAACCAATTAAGTTAATTTGTAGTTAAATAAAGCATAATAAATGATCAACAAACAATACAATTTACATCAAACAACAATTCCTAAAATAAAAAAAAATAAAATCTTACTTATTATTTTTTAACCCATTTATATTATTATGGAACTAAATGATATTTAGAAAAATAATAAGCATTTGAAAAAATTGCAGTAGGTGCATCTCTTATTCAAATTTTGACAAAATTGGTTATTTTTTCTAATGAAAATCAACAATAAACTCATATATTTCTAATAACATATATATTATTATTATTATTTTTTATTTTATCCTTAGTCTCTGAAAGCTTAATAACATGTATATCTTTTAATTTATATTTCTTTAAATAGAAAATAACATAAATATTTGTTATTTATTACTCCTATTTTAAGGAATTTTATATAAAAATTATGTTAAAAAATTATTCAAATATACAGGGTAATAAAAAAAAAAATCTCACTACTGTTTTACAATCTATTATTCTTTCAAGTATAACGTTTTTTAACCTGATAATTTAATTATGAGCAATTATGTTTTGAAAATATTAAAATGTCTGTGCATTGACATATAATAGGAAAGTAAACCTTGTACAGTCCACCTCTTCGTTATATTTTAAATATCATTATATTTGCACTTGTTTTGGTATTTATTGTGGAGACTTCGCCAATTTGCTCGAAGAGGAGGCTTCTCCAGCTGGTTTCACAGATTCCGCCTTGACACCAACCCCATTAGGATTTAAAGTCATCGTCACAGCAACTGAAAACAATAAAAAAAAACAACGAAAGATATTAATTATTAGTTAAATCAGAATAAATTTGTTATACAAGTATCATATTATTCAATGCTATCTAGTTTTCACCAGTTATTATTATTCAACATCAGGGTGAATTATATGAATAATTTTGCTTAAAATAACGAATAGATCAGGTGTTAGGTTATAATTGGAAAAATCCAACTATATATCATTGCGTCTCTAAAATTCAGGTAAGAAATAATTAACCAAAAAGACAAGATCACATCACTCCATTCAAATCCAAACATATACTCTGTGTATATATGTGCTGGTGGACGGTATTGAGACTGTTGGTGTGTCCCTGGCCTGAGTTATCGAAGCTCTATTTTAAAACTTTGAAGAGGATCCCATTGTTAACTTATAAAAAGAAAAAACCGGGATCGAAACATCAAATAAACACAGAAGCAATAAACATTTAGTAGTTTATTGAATAATTAATAAGTGACCTTATTCCCAATTAAATAATTATGTTTAAATTTAATACTCAAAGGTCGATTAAAGAAAAGTTGTGATATATATAATATATTATATATATATATATATATATTATATATATATATATATATATAATATATATATATATATATATATATATATATATATAGTATGTATTTGGAAGTAATGGAAAAGATGTGATCTTGAGTTTTCAGTCCTGATAAAGCCTGAATTGGCAAAATGTTGATTAATTTGTTTTTTAAATGCATTTTAGAGAGACATGGCACTGTTGTCAGAATTTTGCAATTATGATCAAACATATATTTCTGTCTTTCATTGAGTTTTTACTCATATATATATAGGATATATTTGATTTTTCTAACTTTTTTTTCAGTTTAGCTATTTATTAAATTTAATTTCAGTCCTGATAATGCCTGAATTGGCAAAATGTTAGTTAATTTGTTTTTTAAATGAATTTTAGAGAGATATGGCTTCGTTGTTGGATTTTCAAATTATAATCACACATATATTTCTGTCTTTCATTGAGTTTTTACTCATATATATTATAATATATTTGATTTTTTAAATTTAATTACCCTGGATAAAATATTATTTTTAATTAGGAACCAGGTGTTTTTAAAACTAGATTCAGAAAACTGTACCCTGGCATTATTTTGAGACTAAATCAAGAAAAACAAATAATGTCATAATATAACTGGATACTCCTTACCAGTGGCTTACCTAGAACATTTGTTACCTGAGTAAGATTTATTTTTAAATGCCACTATAAAATAAATAAAAAATTCTCTAGAGTGGGACCCACTTAATAAGTGTGTCCTGGTGTATGTTTGAGGACTCCTCAAAAATAAATAAATAAAAGAACTTTTATTTGAAATAAAAAAGTATCGTTTCATAATTTTTGTCTATTTCTCCTACTTTGTTTATTGTTTCCAATGATCAGTTGAATAATTAGCCAGCTAAATTTCGATATAATATGAAGCAACCTTCTCCCTATAAAATAAGAGGAGTTTAGGAATGACCTACTGGAATCTGGAGGAAAGTTAAAACTTTCGGAAGTTTATATAACCCTTGAAAAATGAAAAAAATATATAAAGAAATATTTGTCTACTGAATTGTTGAGTTTCAAAATAGAAGTAAATATAGATAGAAAGTAAACTGAATATAAGTATGTAAATTCAGAAAGTAAGTAAATTATGAAATAACAAAACCGAGGTTATAACGAGGTTACATCCAGCTGATAAAAACAGATAGAACCGCCGAGCTATTTGTAATTCAATCGATAAATAAAGGAACGCGCTGAATTCTAAATACGGATATATCAATGAGTTTAGTAACGGCCTGATGGATTCCCTATGCCCATCAATGAGTTCAGTTGAGAATAGGAACTTGGTCACCCAAATTAACAGTTTACACCCTAAGTGACGGTTTTTCTTTGTTTTATTCGTTTATTATTAGAAAGGACTTAATTACATTTTTGTTATGATGATATTGTAGATTTAATTAATTTTTCAAGAAATATGATTCCTAAATCATGTCGTCCATATCTGTTAATTACGTAAGCCATGCACTTCCGCCATTTTAAAAAATCTTTCAAGTAAATGACTACTTGTGTAAATGTATTCTATTAGTTTTCATTATTACTGTTATAACTTTATTTCTATTTATGAAGTGGCTATTAGTCATTGACAACAGTTACTGCAAGCATATTTTCATACAGTGGTATGTTATTACAAAATAAGACTAGTCTTTGATCACTCTAGGTTCAGCAGTAATGTTAAGAATTTTTCAGGGTTTAGAAAGATTCGCCTTCGTTTAGCTGCCCCGGTTTCGCGAAAGATGAACACATGAGATCTTTCAATAATAGTTAAAATCAAACAAAATACAGGTAAGATAAGTTATTTTATCGAATCTCAATATGTCTCCCTCCCTCCCCCGTTATATGTAGGTTTTTTTAAATATTATAAAAGTTTAATGGTTCACCCATTTCATTTAATAGATCATTTCTAAGTTATAATTTTCTAGACAGATTTAACTCAATTTTAATATATAAAAAAAAAAAAAAAAAAAAAAAAAGAAACCTGTACCACTACAACCCATGAAGGGTCCTGGGGTTCAGTACTGTTTAGGGAGAGTACTGTTTCTAGGTCAATGGTTGTACAAGGAGGTGATTTGACCGAGATTACACTCAACCGCCAGGTTTTCCCCCTTAACTAACTAATTAATTAAGAGTACCCATTTTGTAGAGACTGGGTGTGCCCCAGGAGGGTCTTCCGACCCAGGGTCGCCCCACGGCCAATGAAACAGATAAATAAATTTTCTGCCATGAGCCGGGGTTCGAACCTGGGACCTTTGCATTGGAAGCTTAGAAATTATTCTAAAAACATGATTTTGAAAGAAATTCAATACAATTAATGTTGAATGTCATATCAAAAAACTATAAAAGAAAATATAGATTTTTAGAGAATATATACTAGAAGTATGCTTTAAACATCTACTTCTTTTTTTTTTTTAAATAATGTTATAAGAATTATGATAATCTACATATTAAAGTTTTTTTTTTTTATAATACAATGTGGGTAAATTCCTAAAATCAGGATTAACTCATGCCATCAGATCCAGAGATGCCCAGAGAGGGTTTCATGGTGAAAGTTGTGCCAATAAAATTTTTAAGGTGGGTATATTTTTATGCTGTTTTGAATTTTTGAGGAGGTCAAATTTCTACGGGGTTATGAATTTTTGAAAAGTTTCAATCTAGATGACAAGAGAAAAGGCATGGACCAGACTATAGCAAGTTTAGTTGTATATGATCTATGAGTTTTCCAATTCTACTTTTGCATGCATGTTTTTAAGAAGAGGTGAGTAAAAAAATTTCTTAGGATGGAGAGGTAGATTTCTCGGCCATAGACCTTGGGGTGGAAGGACACCCCTGATCGGATCCATCTCTGAATTGGATGAATTGAGGCCATTGATGGACTCAGCAATGAGTTTAGGAACTGTCCCTGTATTACAAATACAAAAAATGAAAATTCATTAAATTAAAATTATAATTGATAAAATTATTGAGGATTTCTTTAAATAAATAGTAAAGTATATAAAATCATTAGATAATTAGATACGTTGAATATCATCTCCCATATGTATAAGGAAACTACTATTGACAGCTATTTTATCAATTTCAATGTTTGGAAATAGAAGCTGAATGATACAATGGTTTTAGTAGCAATACACGATAAATAAACTATTTAAAATAATGAAGAATATTATTAAAATGAAAAAAGAAAGAAAAATCACAGTTGTAAACCTACAATACTCCAAGCAAATCTAGAAAAACATATTTCTCATTTTATGTACCAATAAAGATTAGGTATTTATATAATATATATTCTAAAGATATACATATGAGTGGCTTAATATCAAAGAAAGACATCTGTAATTTTTAAAAAGTTGAGAAAAAGCCAATTTTCTGGAACATAGCTTCAATTTAAACCAATTCTAATGATTTGTTTTCATGATCCAACTTGAACATTCTTAAATTTGAAACAGTTTGAGTTGAACCTATAAAACAAAAATTACCTTTTTCTCCGTTTTCTGAAAATGACTGATATCTGTCTTTAATATGAAGCCACTCATATAATAATTTAACACATTAACATTAAATAAATGTTCTTAAATTTTTATTTTACTTACATTTTTAACCTGTTTTAATATCAAATGGTATTTATAATATATTTATTATCTAGCATTCAATTAGATTAAATAATGCATTACGCTATTTGTATGAAATTTGATTTATATCATTCTCTCATAGGTTTCCTATAAGAATAAAGATTTATATTTATGAGTCAGTTCTTACCCATTCTGACCTTTTACAAAATTAGGTTCAATTTAAAAATATGTTTAAATTGTTTTATAAAAGCTGAAGATATTTAGTAAAAAAAAAAAAAAAAAATGTGACTTTCAATATCAAATTCAGCAAATAAACATTAACAAACAGTTAAACACACAAAATGATACTTAAAATTTCTTGGAGTTCCATTTCTAGTATTGTTTTATTGGGCCAATATTTGGAAATAATTTGCAAATTCAAAATGTACAATCCAATTTGTGTCATAATACTTTTGGAATCTGTGAAATTTACTTCACATATAAGGAGATACTGGGATTGCTGTACTATAATCTGTTTTCAGATTTCTAAACTCGAAAATACAAAATCTAATCAGAGATACGTACACCCTTCTTACAAAAATAAAAAAGAAATTTTATCACTCTCATTTTCAGCACTAAAATCTAATCTTGACTTTGGATTAAGAGATTACAGAAATGACCTGGCTGTAAATTTCAAGTGAGTATCGTTGAATAAAAAACTCCAGTTTTCCTTTTGGATGCATTATTCTAATTTTTTATAATGTTAACATATTTAATGACAGCAAAAAATAATAAAATAAATGATTTAAAAAAAAAACAACACCTGAGAAGAAAGTTTCGAACAAGTCAGTTTATTTAAAATTTTTGTTATATTGAATATTGAAAAATATCATTCCAAATTCTTTTATAAGAAATCTAATTTAAAAAAAATGTAAAACTTTATGGAAATTTTATGAATGGAAAGTACATTATAAAAATAGAAAAAATCTGACCATCTGATATTTACTTTATGACCATTCTACAACATTTGATGCCATTCTAAGGTTTTAAATTTTTATTTTATATATATTATGAAACTTGTTTTAGTATCACGTGATGTTTATGATACATTTACTATCTAGCATTCAAATGGTTCAAATAATATATTAAGTTCTTTATGTTTCCATATTAAATTTTCGAAATGATAAGGGTGTAGATAATTGACTCTTGTTGAATTGACCCTCAAGGCTATTAATGAGGCCTGCGAAAGGCTAGAAAGAGAAGCAGAAAGAATGGGCCTATCTATATATAAAGGGAAATAGAAAATTATGATGCTTAGGAAGAAAACTCCTATGAATCAACCAAAGTATTATGTAGTGGGTAAGTATACGTTCCAGTGCGTGTCCAGTTTTAAGTATCTAGGCTCCATAGTTAATGATAAGATGGAGGAAGAGAAGAAAATTCAAAATCATATTATGGGACCAACAAAGCATATTTTGCCCTAAGAAGTTTTCTCTGTTGTAAACTGCTAAGTCGGGGTACCAAAATGACACTGTACAAAACAATTATATAACCGTTATTGACGTATGCCTGTGCAATCTAGACCCTACGCAAGATACTGGCTGAAAAGTTTGACAGGTTTGAGAGAAAGGTGTTGAGGCGAATCATGAGGCCTGTCAGAGAAAATGACTTGTACCATATCATGAGAAGGAATAAAGAAATCTAAGACAATCTCTGAGCTTCTCATTTCGTGCGAATTCAGTGCTTCAAATGGCTGGGACATATAATCAAGATGGATGGTGGTAGGGTAGCAAGGAAATTATATTATGGAACTCCCGGATGGAGTCAGACCATTCGGAAGCTTTCAGAAGACCGAAGGAAAGGTGAAATGACTCGGTGGCTGAGGACTTGCGGGTGGTCGGAGTGTCCATCAGACTTGTTATTGACTGTAATGACTAGGTAAGAGCAGTTGAGAGGGCTAAGGGAAGCTTCAGGCATCTGTCGAGCTGGTAAATAATTTTCTGGACAACTGAAACATTCTTTTGAGATCTACAATAAATATATTTTTAAGTTGAACCTAATTTTGGACTGTGGCAGAATTTTATTTTTTTTTCTATCCGTCAATACAAAATGGACGTTTGATTACAATGTATTTAAAATCCAACTTATTTTGAAACTTAATTTTAATGTTTATTTTTATTCATAAATGTAAATTTCTCAGTCCTTAAAGAATTTATAAAAAAAAAAAAAATGTTGGCTCTACATTCCTTGTAAAGAAGACAAGAATGGCCCAATTATTCGTCTCATCGGTTTTGGCCTAATAAAGTATAATAATCAGCCATACAGAGCTCCATTCAACCTAAACTAGATACGAAACAAGATCAATCTCTCTATATAAATTTAGATATAATATTATTTATATAATTTTTATATATATAAATAATATTAACTAGCATATTTAATATAATTGTGAGACAGATTAACACATGCAAACGAGCATTATTTAATCAAAATTCAAACATTCCTCAGTTATCTACAATAGTAAAAGCTAATTATAAAAATGCTAACAAACTTAAATTTTTAAACAAAAATAAATCATATGTACATTTAAATTCTAAAGATAGTCTCTTGTATTAAAAATAATTTCCGGCTTAAGGTTTGGTTCTAGTATTAAATTTTTTTGATGTACTTCGAATTATTAAAACAAATATTACAACCTGATCCCAAGACATATGATATCCATGTTTCTAATTTCAGAATTTATTAATTTTATATTAAATAAAACATTCTAATAACTAGAACGGAATTATGAAAACAACAATCGAGTTTCTTTAAATTAAAAAAAAATATATTAGAATGAATGATTTTTTTAAGTTTCCTTATATGGCACCAAACATTTTCAAAAAGATGATTAATTAATGGAATAGAGATGTTTGCAATTTTAAGCAGGTCAATATCTGGATGTTTATCGATCGCTGATAAAAAAATTGACTTCAAAACATAAAATTTTAAACAATGACTCACTTGAAGTTCACAGCTCGGTGACTTTCATGATCACTGAATATTAAGTCAGATTTTCAGAGTGCAGAATTTCTAGACTGTAAATATTTTTTTATCTTTCATATTCTTTAGAAAAATATAATAAAATAAATAAAAGCTAATAAATAAAAAATAAATTATCAAGCAATTAACTTTCATAAAATACATATCAGAGAGAGAGAGAGAGAGTGATAATTAAAAAAAAAACTATTTAAGATAAATGTCTACTTAGATATACAGATACTAAAAAGATTATAAAAATATTAATGAACACTACCGCATTCACATATGCCATTGTCATCAACGAAATTTTAGAAAGAATAATTTTGTGTTATATGAAACTAATTCAGTAAAGACTACATTTGAGCACAGAATTTGAGGGTTGGGTGTGAAATAGGAGATAAATTTTTATTATAGTGACCTCAATGGGCGGTCCACTAGTCCTCGACTCCTTTAGCTTCACTGTTCTTCAGATTCGAGTGACGCCTCTCGGACTCTGCAAACAGAAATAAACTACCCATATTCCCTCAAAAATATATAACATGGAAACTTTTGGCGTTGCTGTACTTAATTTTTTTTTTCAAATATGAACAGGAACTTATCCAAATTTATGGAATTACAGAATTATTAAGGAAGGTTATTATAAACATAGTTTTTCTTTTAAAAGCCATTAAGAAATAGTTGAATAGGGTTAATTTACAGTATCTTTTAGATACAGTAAAACTGATGCTATGTTTAATATTTATTTATTTTTTATACAGAATATAAGGGCAAACATGGTATATAGTCCATGGTACAGACCTCTCTTCATCAAATTATTAACATCCATTTAAAACTTTGTGAGTAGCTTCATCCCATCGTAAAGTACCACATTTTTATTTTTTAAAAAATTCTTGCTAATTGGGTGTTTTCATTCCAGTGATCTGCAAACATTCATTGAACGTAGGACATCATGTGACACCGGCTTAATATTAATATAAATTTTAGAGAAATGCAATTAATGACTAGGTTTCATTACAGAATGGTTTGGATAATTCCAATAATGATTAAAAAGAGTTGAAAAAATGAAAAAGAAATCAGTGAATTAATATCTTAATTCGTTTGGTAAATTTTTCTGTTTTTATTTAAACAATGATACTATAGTCATGGATTAAAATGAATAATTTAATGAGATATTTACAATAATATGTATGAATTACAATTTATGATTATAATTGCTGAAATAAATTACAAAATAAATAAACGATAACTTAAAGATATTAAAACTATAGATGTTAAATTAAATGAAAATAAAAAGCTTTTGGTTATCAAAAGGTGTTGATTTAATTAATTCCTGCAAAGTTTTAATATATTTATATATATTTATGTTAATATATTTAATTAAAATAGTATCAATATGAATTTTAGAAAAATGCAATTAATAAACAAATATTTTTATGTCTATTTAATTAGGTACTAAAAACTTACGAACATCCATTTGTTTTCTACTTGAGTCATAAATTAATTTGATCATGAAATCTTGTAAATAAGTGATCTACAAAAATATTGGAAAGTTTGATGTGACCTCCACCCTCAACATGTCAAAATAATGAGGTCATATATGCCAAATGGCCCAATATTTTTGTAGACCACTTTTTTTTAAGATTTTGTGGTCAAAATACCTTACCATTCAAGTGAAAAGCTAATGGATAATTAGGAATTTTTAGTACATCATTAAATAAGTCCCATTTCTGAGAATTTTCATAGATAAAAAAATTATAGGTTAGGATAGGATGGAGCCATTTAGGAAGTTTTAGTTGGATGCTAATAATTTGATAAAAATGGTTCTTTTCCTTGGACTAATAGACTTAGAGAATCAAATTTTAAAATTTAAATGTTCCCTTGATTTAAAATAGTTTTTTCAAGTTGATGTGTCTTTATAGAAGAGATGTGGGACATCTTGAAACTTTGAGTTTACCTTCTCATTATGGGCTTTTTTAAGACAGCAACTAATTCTAGAGAATTATTAAATTATGTTTTAAGAACAAACATTATCCCTTGTGCATCATTGTTAATGACTATCTTCCCCTTGAAAGACTTCCGATGACCCAAAATCGGTGTAAACAAAATCAGCAGGAAATACCACACCATAGAACACCCTTTGCTGAGTTCATGATTTTTCCTTAAACTAAATAGACAAAAGAAATATCATGCTATGACAAGTTATGGGCACTAAGGGGTATGGTTGGTACAATTGAATGCATTAGAAATGAACAATTTTCTATATTACAGAGTAGTCAGTGTGAAGTACAGTTCAGGTAAATATTTAACTAATGATAAAATATGATAACAATTGACAAATAAAATAAAAATTGAATAAATTATACTAATGCTGACAACACCTATAGGGTCAAGGCAAACTGGACTGCACAAATAAAACCAATTCAGTGCCAGCATGACAGCAAACAAACATATATAGACATATTGACAAAATAGTCGTAACACAAACTAGACACACATAACAAGGCATTCAATATCTGCAAGAAGACAAATAAATAAAATTAATTATATTTAACTTGGCAAAATAAATAATATTTAACTTAAAAATAATATAATAATCTTTATAATTAAATGTTTAATTACTTATTTATACCTGTGCAAATTATACTCTAAACCAAATATTTTAATTCAGAGTTTAAGGATAAATGCACTAGTAGTGAGCATTACTCAAAGTGGACATGTTAAAGTTGTAAAAAAATAAAATAAAAGAAAAAGATGTATTTAATATAATCTCGTGTCTAATAATGAACTATAATAGAATAATGGTTGACAGCACTTCCAATAATAGTTTTCAGGCCTTATAGACAATTGTATTATTTAATCATGGTTCTGCTTCTTAATTTTGTTTATTTATACTTTAAAATTATGAAAATTTGTTTTTATATTTGTCTGTGAATAAAATATTCTTTTCCTTTTGATAATTCTTTATGTAGTTTCTATTTTTTTCATTTAAGCCAACATCACACCGATGTTTTCACTTCGAAATCCTACTAGCCGAAACGTCGTAGTACGATTTTGAAGTGGAAACATTGGTGTAATGTTGGCCCGAATGAAAAAAATGATAAACTGAAATATTATACACCGAAATAGAAGAAAAAAATATTCAGAATCTTTATGTATTTTTATCATATGTATATCTCAACGTTTCGAGTGTTCCTCCATCTTTAGCAGACTCTATGGCCAGAGAATGCCAGGCATAAAGGAAAAAAAAAAGAATATACAATGTTCTTAAAAACAATGCAAGATAAGTTGTCTAATAGAAGATATTCTTTCAAAATTCAGTTTGAGTTGCTATTAGAAACATTACAAATTGCCTAGAGATTTCAAATTTATTTTAGTAGTTATATTTAAGTATAAATATAACTCACCAACATAAGAAAACAGACTATTGGCCGATTTGTAAGGATGTGAGAAGGTATCTGATAAAATTTCACCCATGCGCCTATGGCCCATGCAATGTTTGTAATCTTCAGAATGCTTTTTTAGAATAATTATACATAAGCCTACATAGAATTCAACAATTTACAAATTATATTAGCAATTTTAAACTATATAAATTGTTCTGTGTATTATAATTTTATTAATAGCCATATATTATTCGAAAGCATAGCTATTCTATTCTTCTGACTCTTTATATCCAATTCAGTAATAATTTCATCATAAAATTTTTCTCTAGATTGGAAATAGAATGACATGTCTACAGACATAACTTTAAATAAATCGATATTTTTGAGGTTATATATCAAGATATATATATATATATATATATATATATATATATATATATATATATATATATATATATATATATATATATATATTGGTACTTTAGAATAAAACGGGCACAAATCAATAATTACAAATATTATACTTTTGCATAATCATTATCAACAAGATTGTAATTATTACCCAGAAATTGAAAACAATTTTGTATTGCGCCACTCTTCTTCTAAGCTAGCTAAATGTTAATTTTTTATGTAATAATTTTTTTTTATACTATACGGAACAGTTTATATGGCACAGTGTAGTATATATTGTTGAGGTTTTGTATGGAATTATTCTAGAAAAATCTCCTGAAGATGAGGCAAATCCATAAATGTTGAAGCATTAAGTGAAGAATAATCAAAAAGAAAGGAAGGTTTTTTTTTTCACAGACAAACGTATAAAGAATTAGCAATATTCCATAAAATACTGGTTATAACATATTGAAGGCATTTCTATAATTACATATTTCATATCTCTACCTCGTAAATTAATTGAATTAATTATATTTCTAATTTTCTTGAAAGTTATTTATTTTAAAATAATTAAATAAAAAAAAAAGGTTTACATTTATTTAAAATTAAATGGCAAGGAAATGTCTACGACATATATTTTATAAGACAAAATATACATATTTTTTTTATAACTGTATAATTTAAATATTCAACTTTCTATGTTTGATTCCATTTAAATTTGATTCAAAATGCTGTAAGAAGTTTCAAGTAGATCAGTGATGGTTCGTTCATTAAGATTTAAAACTGACTCCTTTTTAATGTTCTTTGATGCCTCGGGAGTTTCATTACTTTGATATCTTGGCCGTTAAATTGCTTTGAAATCTTGAGCTATCACCAAATAGCTGATTAAAAGTCTTTAATTAAGTATAATTATGCCTTAATAAGGATTAATAATTTTAATATAAAATTAATAATTTAGAAAACAATTTACAGTTTTTTATATTAAGATAATCCTTATGCATGCTAAATAGATTTTATTTTAAAAATAAATTAGGCAATTATTCACCAACATTTTATTTATTAGCTATTTATTACGACGTTTCGACCATACTAAGGGCCATTTTTAAGTCTGGAAAATAGTAATATTATTATTAGTTAACATTTAACATTTACAAAAAAATAATTTTTACTACACATAATTAACTTATCTAACGATCTATGTCATAATATTTTCAATACACATAGATTTATACAAATCTATACAATAAAAGTATACAATTTTTCTTATAAAAACCTTTCATGTACGTAACTTTGCTCATTAAAACAATTGAATATTATCTTAAAGATTTCTCCATTATACATTCATTATTAATGTCACATTAATTTGTTCAGTGAAAAATTAAATTGTCCTGCTATTTAAGAATTTCCAACACGTCATTTCTGGAGGGACTGACTTATATCATCCTGGTGAGCATAGTCAAGGGGAGAGGGGTTTTCCTTCTATTGTTTTGCAATTGTGGATTATTTGATCTAATTTATGGTTTTTATATTGTTTTTAAATCAATTATTGTATTATATGCGAATATTGTTAATTACATTTGCATAAAAAGTATTTATATGGTCCACATCTGTATGGTTATTAACGGAATTCTTTAAATGTTTAGTGATATATATTGACTCTATAATTTTTCTTTTGTTGTTACTATTTTGCTTATATATTATTGGCATTTTTAAAATCAAATTGGTGTTTGTTGTATGTTGCGTGTTGTGAAAAGCGGGTTGATGTGTTTGATTTGGACTTTAAATTTTGTTCATGTTATTCTTTTTGCTAACCATTGTCCCGTTTGCCCTATATATGATTTATTAGTGCAATTTTTACAATTTATTTTATAAATAACGTTACTTTTCATGTCACGTGGTATATTATCTTTGGTATTAGTATACATTTTTTCAATTTTATTTACTGGCTTTTTACCTAATTTAATTTCCGATAGATTATATTCCCTGAAAGTCCTTTGAATTTTACTAGTTAGATCTTTAATATATATTATTGAATGATATTTAATGTTACATTGTTTGATTGCTACTAATGGGTAATTTATCTACAAATGTTTTCGTATCATTATATTTCTCTGTCACATTTATTAGATGTATTTTTATTTAAAAAAAAAAAAAATTGTAAATTTCATGAATAAAAAAAAAATGTAAAATGAGTGATTGAGTGTTTTTTTAAAAAAATAAATTCTATATTTTAATTTAGCCTTAAATTAATTCTAAAATTCATTTCTTGCTGATAGGATTAATTTCAAGATGTAGTTGAGCCTTATCTTTCTAATTGGCAGAGAAAAAACAGTGGAAGATTTCAATAGAAAAACAGTTAAGATATATCTGTGATATAGTAAAAAAGAATCACTTGAGGATTTATTATAGTAAAGTCTACAAGACAGTAAGAAGGTTGTGTGATGAAACTTAGTTATGTTATGTATTGGGTTATAATTAGAAACCTCTAAACACAAAAACTTGAATTTCTGAAATTGCGGGTAAAACAATCCAATTTTGGAATCATTCTGTTAAGTTTGTTTTAGCAGCATTTTTCCAATTATAATCATATATTTAATTTATGTCCTTCTTTGAGTTTTTGCTCTTTTGTATTAGTTATGCATCTACCTTCTTTATAATTAAACAATGTAGTAATTAACTATTATTTTAGATAGCGATGGAGATACTCACCCATCTTTGGAGGCTGCTGATCCTTGGGATGGTTGGCTTTGATGGCGTTCATCCTCCTGTTCTGCGCCGCGATGGCCTGGGGCGCCTGAGTGTTGGGGCAGGTCTGGGCCGGCAGTCGCGGGGCCCTAGGCTGCTCCACGGGCAGCACTCTCCGCCTCTTCTTCGGCAGCTTCGCCCTCGCCTGGGTGTGCGAGTAGTACATGGCGAAGTTGGAGACGATGACGGGCACGGGGAGGGCTATCGTCAGCACACCCGCCAGGGCGCACAGCGCACCCACGAACATCCCGACGTAGGTCTTGGGGACCATGTCCCCGTACCCCACCGTGGTCATCGTGACCAGAGCCCACCACAGGCCCAGGGGGATACTGTGGAAGTTGTTGTCCGGGTTCGCCTGGATGCGCTCCGCGTAGTACACCAGCGAAGCGAATATCACAATCCCCAGGACGAGGAAGAAAACTAATAAGGTCAACTCTTTCGCCGAGGCCCGAAATGTTTGTATTAGAATCTTGAGGCCGGAAGAGTGCCTCGTCAATTTAAACAACCTCATTATCCTGATTATCGAAAAGAATTCTAATATATCGGCGTTTTCGAGGTGCTTGGCAAACTTTGCCAATATGAGATCGATGTAGAAGCTGAGGGTGGCGACGTAATCGATTATGTTGACGGATGACTTGATGAAGTCACACTTGTTGGGGCAGGCGATGAATCGGACGAAGAATTCGAAGGTGAACCAGGCGTTGCAGAGGCACTCGATGTAGAAGAAGGCGATGTGAGCATTCGTCATGTTTTTGTCCAAGGTCCAGGACCAGGAGCTGTCGCTGGTGTTGACCGTGATGTTCCTGATGACCGGGACTCGCATGTCCGGGTGCGTCTTGAGGCAGAACGAGAGTATCGAGACGCAGATGAAGAACACCGATACCACACCTATAATCTGTAAACAACAATAACTCGTTAGCATAATTTTGTGTACTGACATCATAATATACATAATATATAAATGAGGTAATTAAAGATGAATAAAACACCTCTTTAAATTATAAAATACGCTGGATGAAAGACTTCCTTCCTTACCAGACAATACTAAAAAAATATATTGATAAAGCTGAATACTCAATAAAAACCACAATAAACACTTCTTTTAGGGAGAAACTTATTTTTCCAAAAATTTTTTTTTTTTTTTTTTTATATTTGTTTATTTAGAAATATTACATTTCCAAAAATATAAAAAAAAACTATTTTTTACCAAGTGATACAAAAATAAGGAGTGGAATAGCTTAGTGGGTAAGTAACTGACCTCCAATTATCAAGGTCCTAGGTTCGAATCCGGCCGATGGCAGTTAATTATTTATTCTGTTACATTAGCCGAACTAGAACTGCCCTGGGGTCGAGAGGCCCTCCTGGGGCACACCCAGCTTCTATAAAATGGATTCCCTCAATTAAATAATTAATTAAGGGGAAAACCTGACGGTTGAGCATGATCTCAGTCCAATTATCTACCTGCACTACTGTTGGCCTTATAACAGTATTTTCTTACAGAGTACTCCCCCAAGAATGGAAGACCCTTAATGGGTAGTAGTGGTAGAGGCATTTTTTTTTTTTTAATAAGACATTAATAATTTTCATTTATTATCTATTTAATAAATATTTAACTTTATTTAATAATCTTTATGTTTTTTAATCTCAGAAATAAATTAATGATACATAAATAAATGTCATGTAATGATATATATTAATAATTATTATCCAGTGAATGAAGCGATTCCTGCAACTATGCGGCGCCACTTATAGGCGAACCATCAACACTGCTAAGTAAGGCGGCTAAAGTAGGCTCAATGCATCGTTTTTCTTCAGATAAGTCCGTCATCGGTAAGTGTCATATTTTATTTATTTTGAAAAATAATTTATTTATTAAGAAAAATCATCTTTTTACCTTATGATATGTAATATAATTATAACATAGCATACTTCTAATAATAATAATATAATAATTTTTAGCCTCCTTATATAAAAATATATATATATTTTTCCTTATGCAACTATATTTAAAAATATTTTTTTGTATTGTTATACATAATTTTTAAATATTTACTTTTGAATATTCATGATGTCTATCATCATGTAGATTTATGTAAATAATGTACATGCATTTAGCTTATGTTCCAATTTCAGTTTACATTTTTTTTTTAAGGGTATTTTCTTTCAATTTAATGTGTTGGCTCCCTTTCATATCCATGCCAAAAATAAGATTAATATAGTTTTTTTGTTTCTTGGCTTTAAACATTTATTTCCACTTGTCAACTGTAGTATGTTTACATTTAGTAAATGTGCTGACAATACAGGAAATAATTCATGTCAGGCCGAGAGAAGAACAGAGTACCCAGCCTATTGGTCTTTTTTGCCAACCCCAAATAGTCTTATCCTACCTTTAAATCCCGCCTGTTCAATCATTTCTTATCCATCCAGTCCCCATGAAAGTTTAAATAAATACTAATGTAAATATGTATATAAATTATTAGCTCGTTCTTCATTATTTTTACTTCAACCTTTTTTTCTTAATTTTTTAATTTCTTATTTTTTATTATTAAATGATTAAAATTAGTAAGTAACTTATAATTTTTAATTATATTTCTATGAATGTTTAATTACTCTGTATCTTTATTTATTTATCTCTGAGGCTCCTTAGCCCATATTTATGTCTTTTTGTATTATTCTAAAGGGAATCGTCCCAGAATAAATAAAGTATTATTATTATTATTATTATATAAAAAAGTTTATAGTGACCGTATTGGATTTTATTTTACATATGCAAAGCGGAAGGGACCGTCACGAAGACACCATACTTCTTATTCCCAAGATTACTTATTCCTTAATATGGTTACAAATTGGCAATAAGAATTATAATTATATAAATTGGACATAAGGCTTGAATCATAAAATAGTTTTCTTAAAGAAATTAAAAAATTGTCGAAACTGTGGTTTCGTTCCGTTTATTTTATATTCATATAAAGTATTGAAGTATTGAAGAATTGATTAAAAGTGAAATAAAATATCAGATAGAAGATGTCGGAAACATATATCTTCCTGTCCTACAGTATCCTTTAAAAGTATCTCACTTATTAATGTTGAACAAATCCGATACCTAGGACTTCACTTGGACAAACGTCTAACTTTGTGTCCTCATACCAGACTGAAACGACAAGAAACATCGCGAAGTTTCCGACTACTTCACTACTTACTAGAAAAACACTCTAAGTTTTCAATTAATTACAAGAGAATCATAAATGACTATAATAAGACCTATTTGGACTTACGGAATTTGAGCTATGGCGTTCCACAAAACCATCAAATTCCTCTCGTATCCAATCTTTACAATCCAAAATCCTTCGTAAAATCCACAATGATCCTTACTTTTTTACGAATAAAATCATCCATGATCTTAATGTACCTTATGTTTCCGGTATGGACCAATCCAAGTAACTATCCTTTCATAATAAATTTCAGTGCCATCCTAACCCTATCATTTCCAACCTTGCTTCTTCTTCGATTTCTTATAACCGACCGAGGCGTCTGAAAAGAAGATGACCTCGAGATCTCCTAATGTAGTTATATTATTACAGTATAATAAGTGTTATATTGCCATTGTAATCATTTTGTCACATTTACTAGACGAATTTTTTTTTTAATACAGTTGTAAATAACATGAATAAAAAAAAAGATCAAAGACGTATATGAGAAGGAGTTGATCGGGGGTGCGGTCAAATAAATACTAAATTATAGAAATAGTATTATTTAATTATTATGCCAACGTTTCGATCCACCTTCATTAGGGAGTGGGATGTGGTACTGCGGGAGGCAGTTGAAACACTCTTAAAGACGTATATAGTTTGTTATCATCTATAACAAGCACTCTCATATACCTGTGATTAAACATTATATATTTAAAAATTGCTATATTATAAACATTATTCGTCGTTAAAGTTTTAGCGATACAAGGGTCGGAACGGATATTATAGGACGGGCCGTAAAGGTGGTAGCAAGCCCTGGAAGGGCTGGTAGATTATCTGAAGATGTATGAAGGTCGCCCTATCGGTGGTTAAGCACTTGAGTAGGTTACTTACCATCTCCCTCTATGTCGTCCTGAAGGGTTAGGGACCCTGCTTCACTTCAAAGGGAGCCGGAAAATACAACCCGCTAAATAAGATCAGGGTCGCCTCATTCAATTGGCTAATTGAGCTGCTTAAACCTAAAGATTAGGGCGGAATCAAAAGAGTGATTATCAAAAGGCGGATTGAGTCAGGCCTAAAGGTAATTACCAAAAGGTATTCAATTCAAGAATGTTATCAATTATTTACTATCTCAGAAATTTTCTACACTAAAGAAACGTACTTGGAAGTTATATATATATATATATATATATATATATATATATATATATATATATATATATATATATATATATATATATATATATATAGTTTACGGTTTAGTTAGGAATATAACATTCTGTCACGAAATGATTATAGTGAGGAAATATTGCATTCATTCCATGTATACTGAAAAAATAAAAAAATAAAATAAAACAGAAGAAAAATAACTACTAAATAATAATCAATAAGTATATACATTAAATAAAAATAAAATAATTTAAAGATATATTAGCATTCCAAATTCTTCAATTGCACATCACAAACCTTGAAGAATAATGTCAAAAGTGGAGGATTAAAGTAAATTCCAATAAATCCTATTAAATGACCTTTACCCTATGACTCGCTGTCCTACAATATCTTTAATAACACCCCACTTATCTCTGATGAACAAATCCGATACCTAGGACTCCACATGGAAAAACATCTCACTTGGAATCCTCATACAAGAATGAAACGACAAGATACTGCTCGACGTTTCCGTTCACTCCAACACTTACTAGACAAAATTTCTAAGCTTTTAATGAATTACAAAATACTCAAATATATAACTGTAGTAAGTCCTCTTTGGATTTTAGAGGATTTGAGCTTTGGGGCTCTATTAACCTATCGAATTCTTACAATCCAAAATCCTTCGTAAAATTCTCAATTTTTCTTACTTTGTCACAAATAAAATAATCCATAAAGACCTTAATATTGAATGTGTTACTGATTTGGCCCAATCCCGATACTTATGGTGAGGGAACTTCGAGCCAGGCCTGTTCTTCCAATTACAAAAGGAAAAGTAGGACTCCAGGAGATCCCTGTGCTGTTCTCCCAACAGCGTCACTGGTAATTTTTTTTTTTTTTGGGAAACATTATGAAAACTATAGGATGCTACTGGACAACTTTTAAAAGATCAAACGTTCTTGAACTGAGGTTTGGTTAAATAAAAATACATTTTATTTTTATAGATTTCGCCTAGTCTTTTATTTAAATTAAATTAAAAAAAAAAACTATACAAGTGTTTTCTCCGATTTTTAAAAATTAGCGCAAACAGTTCATATAGGTTTATAGCTTATCTCACAACGGATTTAACAATTAGAAATAATTTAATTTATTCAGCTAAAGAAAACACAGAAAAATTGTTTGTTTATATACGTTACGTATACGTTTAGGGGAACGAAAATAAAACTACCAATAACATCACAGTTCGACTGAAAAATAAAACAAACAAATAAAGTTGTGAAACTCGCCTCGAACTTACTAATTTAGTGATCAAAGTTAGGTCTTACTTTAAGTAGTTTGACACTTTCAAGGTTTCAACACTTTGATACTTAGCTCAAACTTTGAAAAAATCGAACTTGCAATGATAAGCTGTTATGTTTTTTTAAAGCTGAATAGATTTTAATATCATATAAAAGAAAATAATAGTTGAATAGCTATTTAATAATTCATTCAATTGGTCAGAAATGTAATGTTTTGTACCAATTGTAAATTATACTATTTATTAAACAGATGAAACCAAATAATATATCTTATGAAACAAAATTCAATATCATTGGCGTAATTATGGTAACAATATTTTACTTTTTATAAAAGTATTATTATATACCATTTATCGATGTTAATGAAGAAGTTCGGTCGTAAATTATTTAAGTATTGAGTTTTGGGAATATTTTTTTTTTATTACGTTTGTAAACATTTAGAAAAATAAGTATATATCAAAAACTGGTTACCGTTCTTACAAACCAAACAATATTTTCGCTAATAACATTTAACATTATACCAATCACATACAGTTACTGACTACAGTAACATAACTCCTACAGTGCTGGAGTTACAACAATACGCAATTGGTATATTTTTAGATGTCATCCAAGCATTTCATTATTCAATTTTCTTTTTCATTGATCCTTAATTTATAATAAATTGTTTAAATTTATATTTATGCCAAAATACAAAACAAAAAAACATATTCATTAAAGAAAAATACTTTGAATGAGAGTTTAATGGAATAAATTGTCGTGGTTCATTGATTAGAATATAATAGAAAAAAAAACAGCTTTATTCTGGAATAAATTCCCTACAGAAAAGTTCTGAATATAAGGCCGATTACTGTAAATGAGAAACTAAAATAGATATAAAAAAAATTATAATAATTTATGAGGAAATGTGTAAAAAAATATTCTCTACTGAAATAAACTAATACAGAAATGAAAATTAAAATTAATCTTAAAAAACAAACAATCATATTCATAAAAAAGAAAAATATTTACAACCATTATTTAAAAAAATTATAACTAAATTATAGTAACTTTATTAAAAAATAAATAAATAAATACAATGATGATCTATATAAGAAGACAGATTGAATCAAACTTATTGTGAAGTTAATTCTAAATTAGTGAAACCACTTTGCATATGATTAATAACTAAATAAATAAAGTAAAATCGTACAGGGATAAGTCGTATAATATGATCAGCAATACAACTATATACATATATATATAAAACGCTGTGTAAAGTAATTTAAATTGTGTGTTTATATTCATTAAAAAGAAATCACATACGCAGAAACTGAAGATTACATTTAAATGTAATCATATTTATCCATTCTGAATTAACAATAAAAATAACCTTTATTAATTTCTAATGATGAAAATTATAAAATCTAAATATACTTTAGAGAAAGGTTTCGAAATTCGTCACTTATAGCCCGTGGTACAGACCCCTTTTTATCAAATTATTAACATCCGCCTGAAATTTCGAAAATAGTTTCATCTCATCTTAATCTACAAACATTTTATTTACGAAAATTCTTGGAATTGGGGAATTTTCAATCTAGAGGTCGGCAAACTTTGTCTATTTAACTAGATACTAAAAAAACTCGTAAGTACCCATTTTCTTTCCACTTTAATCGTGAGATAACTTCAGTACAAAGTCGAGAAAAAGGTGGCCTTCAAAAATAAAAAAGCGCTTTGGCCTCGTTATTTTGGCGATTTGGGGGTGTAGGTTTAAGCTGAACTGCTCAATATGTTTGAAGGCCACATATTTCCTCGACTTTGTGCTCAAGTTATCTCACGACTAGAGTGGAAAAGAAATGGTTATTTACTAGTTTTTAGTTCCTGATTAAATAGACAATGTTTGCCGACCTCCAGATTGAAAACGCCCAAATTCTGAGAATTTACGTAAATAAAATATTTGTAGGTTACGATGAGATGAACCTATTTATGAAGTTTCAGGTATATGTTCATAATTTGATAAAAAGCAGTCTGTACCACGGACTATTAATCTCTGAAGTGAAGGTAAAACTCAACTGATATAATATAAATACCAACTGTATACAGTCTCATCCTTGTGTGGCATTCAAAAGGTTTTTCAGAAACCATTAAGTTAAAATATAAAATATTGATATGGCTTCATTTTTTTTTTCCATCGCTGTTTTGCAAACATTTACCTCCGGAAAATGTATAACAGATTAGACTGAAAGGCCTTTGAATTGAAAAGAATCGGTATGTAATTTTTAGTCGGTATTGTTCCAAAATTTTTTTTTTCTATTTTTATTCTATCTCTGTATGAATTTCTATTATCTTGTTACCGGCTTCGCATATTTTTATTTTATTGACTATTGAATGTTGAATATTTTTATTTTTTTTAAATATTCGTGGATCACTAGTGTCTACTTTTTATAAGGTTAATTATACATATGATTCGTAAAGGATTTCAAATAATTATTCTGTACTTATGATACTTGAAATTTCTGTCTTCCTGCGGGAAATAAGTGAAAGTTTTATTTATACAGTTTTTTTTACTATGTAAATTAAGATTTTCTTTATTTGGGATATGTTTCCTTTTGTCTAATTTTTCTTACACTCCTCAGCTGTGTATCCAAGTATATTTTTTTTTTTTTATCGTATAATTATATGTATTTGTTTAAATTTTTTTTTAAATAACAGTAATAAATATTTTTTTAACAAATATTTTTCACTTATTAGTCCGTGGTACAGACCCCTTTTTATCGAATTATTAACATCCGGCTGAAACTTCAGAAATAGTTTCATCTTATCTAAACTACAACTATTTCATTTTCGAAAACTCTTGGAATTGGGGCGTTTTCAATCCGGAGGGGATCAAACTTTGTCTATTTAATTTGGTACTAAAAACTCGATAATAACCATTTGCTTTTTACGTGTATCGTAAAACAATTTGATCACAAAATCTATATAAAAGGTGGCCTACAAAAATATTAGTCCGTTTGCCGGCTCGATATTTTTAAAGGCCGACTTTTTTTTTGTAGATTTTGTGATCAAATTATCTCACGATACAAGTAGAAAGCAAATGGATATTTACGAGTTTTTATTACCTAATTAAATGTACAAAGTTTCCCCCTCCCCCACCCTATACCACGGACTATATATTAAACTTTCTTCATCTATCCCATTTATTTTTTAGTAGCAAATATACTGTTATAATATTCTTCTTGTGTTTTTTAGAATACAGCTTTGATAACTATATACATATTTATGTTGTTTTATTTTTTAGTTGTTCGCTTATTGGAAAGCAAGCAATATTGCTCGGGTGCATTTCTGGACATAGCTCAAGCTTTTGACCGGGTATGGCACGCCGGGCTTCTTTCCAAGCTGAAAACCTATCTTCCTCAGTCCTTGTACCTTGTCATCCGTTCCTACCTCTCAGATCGTACCTTCCGAGTTCGCTGCGGTAGTGAATTATCGAATTGCTATCCAATTGAGGCAGGTGTTCCTCAAGGTAGCGTATTGGGTCCCGTCCTTTACATCCTCTTTACCGCTGATATCCCTGTCCATCCCGATACCTTCCTGGCAACTTTTGCTGATGACACCGCCATTCTATCATCCGACTCAGATCCTGATATAGCATCCTTAAACCTTCAAAGACATCTCTCCCTGATTGAACACTGGTGTAATAAATGGCGAATTAAAGTAAACGAATCCAAATGCCAACACATCACCTTCACGCTCCGACGCAGTTCCTGTCCACCAGTACACTTTAATTCCATTCAGCTTCCTTTCTCGGACACAGTCCGGTACCTTGGCTTTCTCTTAGACAGACGACTAACGTGGAACCCTCATACTAGACTTAAAAGACAGGAACTAAACCGACGATACGGACAACTATACCGACTACTAAACAGAAAATCAAAACTTTCCATTGAAAACAAGTTACTGATCTACAAGACAATCCTGAAACCTATCTGGACTTACGGACTTGAACTGTGGGGAACAGCAAAATTTACTAACATTAAACGCATCCAATCCTTCCAATCAAAAGTCCTTCGAACAATAGTCAATGCTCCTTTCTATGTAACCAACAAAACCCTACACCATGACCTTAATATCCCATTTGTCCTAGACCTTATCCCAGCAAAATTCTCCAAATTCCACCAGAACCTTACCCATCATCCAAATCCCTTTGCAAAATCTCTATCCAGCACCACCCATCCATATAATCCTCCAAGGAGGTTAAAACGGCAGTGGCCTCGCGATCTTTTATAGTTTGTAAATATTGGAGTTCTGGCAATGGCCAGATTCTCCACTCACGACATGAGTGTATGTGGCTAAAGCACTCTTGCTCAATCTCCACTGGGTTTAGCCCTAGTGACGCGGTTGAGAGAGGAGTGCAGGGAGCTCCTGGAGTCATACTTTTCCCTCCACAGTTGGAGGGACAAGTCTGGCTTGGAGTTCTCTCGCCAAGTTGTAAATATTGTATGTAGGTGTGCATGTGTTCTTTTTATTTATTTATTTTTAGGTTATTTTATTCTTGTTTATTGTATATATATTATTTTTCTGTATAATTTATTTTATTTACTGTATATAGAGTGTGAATGTGATCTGTGAACACTATTATTAATGTCCCTGAGACAGATTGTAATATATTTCAATAAATAAGCTATTAAAAAAAGTTGTTCGCTTAACACGTCTCATGGACATAATCAATCTTTATTTTTCTGTACATTATTGTTATTCTTAAGGGACTTCGTCCAAGAATAAAGATGCTTATTCTATTCTATATATTCTAACAATATCTAATTTAAAATAATGTTTTCGGATTAGGTAAGATTTTGAACCGGAATAAGGTTGTTGTTCTGTGTTAGTTTCGAATTAAATTATGTTTATTATCGAAGGACATCGTTAAGACTTCGTCATTTTTATTTTTTAAATATTTTTATTATTAATATTTTAACGTCAATATTTTTGCAAATATAGCTGGTTATTATTAACGATAGGCAAGCCAAATCGAGACAAGCGGAGAACCCGATTCACCGCAAACGACTCCATGGTCAAACGCCCTGATATGCCGGTAATCGGGAGTCCGCGGTGAGGGCTAGGGACAGTTCACCGCAACTGTCAACTTCGTCTCAGGCTAATTAATTCAACAATTTATTTATAAATATAATAATATAAATAAATAATATTTTTAGATATACAGGGTGTTTCGTAATTTCACGGCACTATTTTATGTATGTGTTCACTAAGACAAAATAAACAAAAAAGTTCATATTAACATATATCTCAAGCTCATTTATTAAACAGATATGAAAGGTTAAAGATTTATTATTTATTCATTACATTAAGACTGAATGTACAAAGTTTATCGTGTTTAATACTAAATAACAGGTTTTAATTACTTGATAAACAAATGAATGACAAACGAAGACAGTATTTGCTCATCCGTGTGTTTTAGCGTAAGTGAATACTGCGAAACAGTTAAATTTATGATTATCTGCCATCCTGAAATTATACGAAGAGCCAGAGAAGCATTGATTCGCCGTGCTGAATGTTGCATTCAACGAAACAATGGCTCCTTTGAACAGTTACTCTAAATGTTGTAATAATAATAAATATAATAAGTAAATAGTAACAATAAATAATTGTTATTTATTTAAAGAAATTTACAGCTATATAAACAATACAACTAGTAAAAATGCACACATTGGAAATAATGACATGAACAGACTTGAAGAGATACAGGCCAGTGGTAGCACTCCCTATTTAATTCTAGGTGAGAAGATCACGAGGCCATCTTCTTTTCTGACGCCTAGGGGGATTATGATGAATCGAGGAAGAAGCAAGGCTGGAAACAAGTGGATTTGGATGGGACTGGAGTTAATCATGAAAGGATAGGTATCTGGCTCGGGCTAAATCAGCGGACAATAAATAATAAATCTTTAACCTTTGATATCTGTTTAATAAATGAATTTGAGATATATGTTAAATGAACTTATTTGTTTATTTTGCGTTAGTGAACACACACCTAAAATAGTGCCGTGCAATTACGAATCATTCTGCATATTTAGTCTGGCGAGTAGATTATTAAAACTTTACAGCTATTCAGAGAAATCGTTTCATACTTTATCTGCTTATGAAATTTCTTCCCGTAACTAGAGCTAGTAATCTCATCGCTGGAATCCATCGATCGATTGAATATCTGCGCCGATGGACAGCGATTTATACTCAGTTTAAATACAGCCTGCTGGATTCTAGCGGAAGGTTAACGCTCTTGGAAAGTTATAAACCATATGGTAAAAAATATATATTAGGAAACACTTACTTACCGCATCATTGAATTTCAAAACAGAAATAAATAGAAATAGAAAAAAAAACTAAGTATAAATATGCAATGTAAATTGAAAAATAAAACCGATGTTATAATTAGGTTACATCCACCGGATCCATCTGATACAAAAGTTGATGGAACCGCTGAGACTTCGGTGGTTAAAGGAACGTTCTGAATTCTATTGATGGTTTATATCGGATTAGAAAATAATATATAAATGGTGATGTTGATAAATTTAAATATTTATTCAATAATTATAGATTATTTTTCTATTGTTGTTTTAATTAGTTGTAGGTTACGCCAAACGGCTCAATATTTTTGAAGGCCTCCTTTTTTCTCGACTCTGTGATCAAGTTATCTTATGATACAAGTTGAAAGGAATGGGTATTTACGAGTTTTTAGTACCTAATTAAATACACAAAATTTGCCGACCTCAAGATTGAAAACTCCCCAAATCCGAGAATTTTCGTAAATAAAATATTTGTAGGTTACGATGAGACGAAGCTATTTACGAAGTTTCAGCCGGATGTTAATAATTTGATAAAAAGGGGTACCACGGACTATAGGGTAGTATCGGATAGTGAAACAATTCTTTTTTGTAGGTTGGTCATGTTTTATTATGTTACTTTTGCGTATCGTAATATTCATGATTTGAAGTTTTCGTAAGTGGCTCTTTTTAGCTACATCGTGTACGTGTGAGGAGTATGTTCAAATGGGTTTAAGAACTCGGCAGGAATGAACAAAAAACTATACAATATTAAGCATCATTGTTGCTGACAGTTAATAATCATTAGATTCCAACCTAAAATGATTAGAGCTTTGATTGGTCCAAGAAGGTTCTAATCAGTTGTAACCCCTTATCTGGTTAGTCAGATGAGTATATGAGTAGGGGGAGGGGGAGATTTTCCAAGAGTCTCCGAAGTATGTTTTCAGTTGCAGTTTCCATGCTCAATAATCTAGAATGGATTTAAGGAGCTACAAATCCGCACACTATTGTTTTCCGGATAAGCATAGAATTACCATAATAAATATATATATACGTATACAGTTGTTCCTTATACTACTATCCGCCCCCAAATGTGATTCAAAGAGACAATTGTTTATTGTCGGGTCGTAAAGGAAGAGGAGAACAATGCCTCAGGGTTGTATTGTGTATTTTGTATTGTGAATTGTATTGGTTTAGGCAACCTGAAAATTTTCACTTAAATGGGGTAAGTTTCATAATCAATCTCGGTTAAACAACGATTATTATGGAATAATCATTGAAATTAAATAAATTAATATTTAAATTTAATAGTTTCAATCTCATTTTATTATTAAAATGATTTTGAACCATGAATATTATATAATACAGACATTATATATTGATTTAATTAAATTATATCGATATATAATTAATGTGTTAATTTTCCAATGTCTTTTTATACTTCATTTTTTCACTCACAACTGCCAGAAATACAGATAAATGAGTATGCTTTCAGGACGGCATGCTTTCACCGGCATCCCTTCCTAACTTGATTTTAGTATTTATAGTTAAGCGAGGAGATCCCTCACCCAGCTTTTTTTGATCCTCCTAAAATTGTCATCAGACGTGTTAATTGTGACTATATCTTGAATAAGTGTGTTAAAGTAGGTTGACGTGAATACTACAGCAGTGCGTCCATATGCAACCCCTGTTGACATATGGATGTGTTTATGTAAAGTAATGTTGGTAACGAACCATAGAGCTTTGATTACAGTTTTTTAAAAGCTGAAAAGTTTGCGGGTTTTTTTTGGCTGTCCCATAATTCTGAGAAACGTAGATCCCAAACGGGCTTAAGTAAGCAAGTGTAGGTGTTGAGTTTCCGTTTTAATTTAATTTAATTACCACCTATGCCGATGACACGTGTATCTATCAGTTAATAGCAATCCATCAATTGCATCCCAAACTCTTCAATCACACATCACACGTCTTGAAAAATGGTGTCAAAACTGAAGGATTAAAATAAATTCCAATAAATCCTATAACTTAAATAAACCTATGACTTCCTGTCCTACACTACCCTTCAACAATTGCCCTCTTAGCCCTATTGAACAAATCCGATACTTAGGACTCCACTTGGACAAACGACTCACTTGGAACCCCCATACCAGACTGAAACGACTAGAAACTGCCCGACGTTTTCGACTACTGCAGCACTTACTAGACACTAAGTTTTCAATCAATTACATCATCATCATATGTGGCACAACATCCCGTTACCGAGACTGGGCCTCCTCCAAGAGCCTCCGCCAGTTGGCTCTGTCTTCTGCTGCAGCTCTCCAGTTCCGTACACCAAGCAGGGTTCTCGCATCATAGGCCACGTTGTCCAACCATCTCGTCCTCGGCCTTCCTACCCGTCTTACGAGGTGCAGCTCCTCCATCATTATTTTTTTTGGTATTTCAACGGTGCTCATTCTGGCCACATACCCTGCCCACCTTAGTCTGGCCAGTTTAATATACGTGACTACGTCGATGTCTGCATAGAGAGAACTGAGCTCCCTATTTTTTCTTTTCCTCCAGACATCACCCTCCTTTACTGGACCATAAATCCTTCTGAGGACTCCTCGCTCAAACACACTCAGCTTCATCTCATCCTTTTTAGTCATATCAATCAATTACAAACGACTCATATATTTGACAATAATAAGACCTATTTGAACTTACGGATTTGAGCATTGGGCTCCATTAAACCATCAAATTCCTCTCGTATCTAATCCTTACAATCCAAAATCCTCAATGCTCCTTACTTTGTTACAAATAAAATTATCCATAAAGACCTTAATGTTCCATATGTTTCCGATTTGGCCCAATCTAGATGCCTATCCTTCCATAACAAACTGCAGAACCATCCGAACCCTCTCGTTTCAATCCTTGCTTCCTTCTCGATCCCTGATAACCGTCCGAGGCGTCTGAAAAGAAGATGACCTCGAGACCTTCTAATATAGAACTTTAATTTGAGTTCTACCAATGGGTAGTTTCTCTTCATGTTGTACATTTTACCAATGTCACATTTACTTGTTGTACTTTTCATGTAATATAAATTTCATTAAAAAAAAAAAAAAAAAATCGTAAGGTTTTGTAAGAAGTGAGTATAATACTCGAAGTAAAAAGAAGGACAGAGAAGTTTCATATCAGAGAGTGGAAGTAATGTTTTGAGTTTGTCTTGGTTTAGGACGATTTTCAGTATTTTGTACTAATCATTTAGTATTGTTCGATGATATAAAGTTTCTGAGGGGATGATTCGACTGTGTAAGTCGCTGTCATGGTTTTAGATCCGTCCGGAATATCGTGGGCCTGTATATGACGTATAATGATGGAGCGAGTACTGTTCCCTGAGGAACTCCTCCTAACACCGGTCTAATGGCAAACATTTCTGAGCCTTGGCAAGCACATATATTTATAAATATAATAATAATTAAATAATATAATAATATATGAGTACCTTGGCGCTGTTGGAGGAGTAAGGCTCATCGAAGAGTGACCAGAGCTGGGGCTTGAGTCGCTGCCACCAGGACACTGTACCCTTGAAGTAGTCTTCCTCGAACCCGAACTTGCGGGCCATCTCCTCGTCCGATGGCTTCTCCGAGTCCAGGTCCAGCCTGTCAAGGACGGCCAGCGTCTCCTGCGTGTCCCGATGCTGCAAAATAGCAATTCCTGGAATTAGCTACTTAGGTGTCAAGAGGAAAAAGAATTGGGTTAGAGAAATATTTGCGGTTATATTTAGTTCCATAAAACGAAAAAAAAACATGGCTCATGCAGAGAAATATCGTTGTATGGCTACCTATCAAACTGTCGCTTAATTCAGTTCCTTTCAGACTGGTCACAGTACATTTTTTGTTTGTTTTTTTTCTAATATTTTATTGAATGATAATACAATCTGCCTCATGAAGGGCAACAGGTATTACTGTTACAAGAGTTAATTCATACAATATATACAAAAACAAAAAAAACAGGAAGTAAATATAAATAAAAATAATAAAATATACATATATAAATAGAAGTAAAAAGAAGAATTCTCAGAAGAATCTACGGACCTAGGAGAACATTTGAAGGATACAGGTTGAGGTCAAATGAAGAAATATATAAGGAAACAACAGATCTAGAAACGGATGCTAGGGTGGAAAGGCTGAGGTTCTATGGCCATATGATGAGGATGAATCCAGAAAGACTTAACCATAAAATCTTTCAGCGCATCCACAGTCATAAGAATTTAAGCGGGTATTTTAAACAGCTTAAGGATGATATGGACCATGTGAGGCTAAGAGACCAAGATTGTTTGGACAGAATGAGTACAGGAAGGCGCTCAAGGGAATAACGGTTCTTGCGGAAAAGAAGCGCTCCAAAAAGGATGTTGCGTGGTCTGAGGAGAGAAAACATAAGCACGCGGAGCTCATGAGGGGCATATGGAAGAAGAGGAAGCATTAAATTCGTGATATTCGCGTGGTCTTTAAGGCCTGTTACTGAAAAAAAAAGTAATCTTCTTATATTCATACCTATACATACAATATCTACATTTGCCGAAGGAACTCCGAGCCAAGTTTTGCCCTCCACATATGGAAAACAAAGCAAAACTCAAAAGTTCCCAGTGGCTCTCTTCCAGCTTCGACACTGGTAGAAGCCAGTGGAAACTGAAAGAGGCCATTGTAGCCACAGACGCTCAGGACTTGAGTGGAGATGCCGGTCAATGCCAGGACTCCAAAAGAACATTTACAAAATGTCTCGGGGCCGCTGCCGCTTTAATCTATGAGGAGGATTATAGGGATGGTCTTAGCTGGATAGGTATTGAGCTAGAGGGTTAGGATGATGAATAAGATTCTGGGGGAAGTTGATAAATCTGGATGGGATAACGTCAAGGACATATGGGATGTCAAGGTCATGGTGTAAGGTCTTGTTTGTAACATAATAAGGAGCATTGATTATTGTTCTGAGTACTTCGGATTGGAAGGGTAAGATACGTTTGAGATTAAAAAATTTAGCTGTCCCCCAGAATTCAAGTCCATAGGTCTAGATAGGTTTTAGTACGGGCTTGTAGATTAATAATTTGTTTTCAATTGTAAGATGAGATGTTATGTTTAATAATCTGCATAACTGACCGAATCGTCGGTTTAGTTCTTGTCTTTTAAGTCGGTTCTGTCGGTTTAAGTCTTGTGTGCGGATTCCAAGTGAGTGTTTTGTCTAAAAGGAAGTGAAGGTACCGAACAGTGTCTGAGATGGGAAGTGGAGTAGAGTTTAATAGGATTGGCGGATAGGGTCACAGTATCTAGTCGTCACAGATAAATCACCATTCTTCCCGCTTTCTAACCTATTACCATTCACAAAAAACTTTATGAAGGTTTAAATAGAATCTATAACTGGGCAGGAGCTGATAAGTTGAAGTTGAATGCGGAGAAGACGAAAGTAATTGTAATAGGCAGTAACCACTTTCTTAAAACTGTTCCAGATGTTGCAACCCATTACCTAAATGATAATCCTATCAAATTTTCTCCTACCTTTAAAAATCTTGGAATAAACTTTGATCAAACGCTTTCTAGGAAAAAACATGTGTGCAATATCTCTCGTCTTGCCTTCTTTACCTTAAAACATATAAATTACCTCCGTCATCTACGTACATTAGAAACCCGTATTCTTCTAGTTACTTCCTTTTCTATTTTTTTTTCTTTCAAATTATCAAATCTCTCTACCGCTCATACATTTTCGAGACCCTTCAATTTGAATCCTCTAATTATACAACGACCTACCAAATCACAGCTTTCGACAAATCTTTCATAATTCGATTCTCGTCCCAACGGAACACAATCCTACATCCGTCGATTTATTACCCTCTTTAGCTTTAAATCCCGCCTATTCACTTATATTTATACTTATAGTTCTTAAACATTTAATGCTTCTTTAATTTTTGAAAACATTGATTAATGTAAGAAGTAACTTACATTTTTTTTTATATTTCTGTTTATTTATTTTGTTATTATTTTTTATACAGCTCTGAGGCTCTAAAGCACCCGTTTCTGTTATTATATTTGACTCTAAAGAGACTTTAGAATGCCAGTTCTGATATATGGCTGTGAGACCAGGATACTAACCAGCACCCAAGAAAAAAGTGTTGAAAGATTTGTGAGAAAAATTCTCAGCACCATAATCGGAGCGATCTGTAATCAGACTACGAACACACTGAGAAGAAAGACGAATAAAAAAATGCTTTCAGAAATTGGTCAATCAGTATCAATATATGAAGGCACGGAGGTTAAGATGGGCAATCCATCTGGAAGCCTCTAAGTAACAATGAATGCCTCAATAGAATGCAAAATACCACGTGGAAAGCCAAAGAGCAGATGGATAGATTGAATTAACAAAGATGCAACAGAGCTGCGTGCAGATAAACGGAAATAAATAGCCCAAGACAGGCAGAGATGGAGCAGGATTGTTAAGGCAGCAAAAGATCTACGTGGTCTGTAATGCCTATAGAAAAAAAAGTTTTTTTTTTTCAATTCAAGCTCAAATATAACGTGTTCAAACGTTTGTGAATACGTTGTAGGCCTTCATCAGAGCTAGATAATAACCATGAAAGTATATATCTATGAAAAAATATTAAAGTTATTACAACCTATACAAAATATTTGTATATGTACATAAATGATAAATAAATAAAATAATAAACAGATAAATATTTTGGTTATTAATAGGAGATCAATGTTGCAAAAGATCTACATGGTCTATAATAATAAAATAAAATAAAAACACAGAATATATTGTAATATTATCGTAGAAATATTTATTAACCTAATATTTACTAAAAACCATTAAATATAAAAAATAATATTCGCCTCTGGACCAGTTTCTGCAGCAGTTGATTTATCCGAGGTTATTTTCCTTGGCGTTTTCGCAATTTTGGGAGTCCCTTGGCTATAACTAGACGAACGTTAGGTGTTAGATGTTCCAACGCATCAGGTTTGTTAATATAGTCGCGACTCTTCAGAATTCCACAAAAAATCCAATACCATCAAATCGCATGATCTTGGTCGCCAGTTGATCCGTGATTTGAAATATAGTGCCTTCTGAACTTTTCACGGAAAAAATCGGACGTTGTCCACGATGTGTGACATGTTGCGCGGTCTTGCTATAACCATACATATTCTTCATCAATATCCTCCATTTCGTGCCAACAATAATAGGTCATCGTGTGTCTATAGCGCTTATAAAAAACTAAGGCCCGATTACGCCTTCTCACCACAATACGTACAGCCAAATTTTTGAGGATGCTAAAATGTCTCGTATATCACGTGAGGATTTTGCTAATCCCTAATGCGGCAATTTTGCTTATTAACATACTCTGATATCTGGAGGTGAGGGTATTAAGGGAATTCCAAATTATCGCTGCGGTGGGTTAAGATAGAACTTATTTCGACGGTGAGGTAGCGGGGATCCTCATAGCCTTAAGAACATTGTCTAGAAGGCGGAATCAGAGCGCTGTTCTCTTCATCGGCTATCAAGCAGCAATCCTCGCTAATAAATGTCTGTCGAGTGCTATCTTGGAGTGCAAATCCCTCCTCTCTGACCTGACACACCGAGGCACCAATGTGGTCCTACAGTGGACCGTCAGCCATTGTGGGATTCCGGGAAACGTTGAGGCTGATAGTCTTGCCAAGCGAGGAACAGATTTGCCTCAGTCGATACTTCCAAAACCGTACAATTCAATACGGCGAATGGTAAAGGCTGCAGTGAAGGAAGAAATTAGCAAAACACATTTGGACAAGGTGGAAGGGAAAAGCTTTGAGTGTTTGATAGATAATTAGATTCCAGCTAAACTACCGAGAAGAGATGCAGTTGCCTGCTTTCATCTAGACACTAGTCACTACTATCTTCAGAGTCATCTCCACAAGATTGGTGTCGCTGAGGATCCTAGCTGTAAATTTTGTCATCAAGGAACAATGGATGCAGACCATCTAGACACATATCCTGCCTTGACGGACATAAGAGAAAAAAACATTTTTAAATATCTATATTAAATTATCTAAATTATACTGGCCAGCAAGATGTCATATGGCCGAATGACCAACATGGCCTAAGAAAAAAAAACTTATTTATTTGTAATTTTATTTTATTTAAATTTATTTATTTTGTTGTTAGTTGAGGATGGAACATTAATTAGGCTTAAATATTACTTGTTAATGCGTTTTATCACATTTAATTTATAAATAATTACTTTATTATTTACAATATTAGTAATTATATTTATTTGTCCTCATTCCAGTTATGCATGTCATTATTTATTTATATTTACAATCCTTTTAAATTATTAGTTTAATTTTAAAATGAAATATTGATAAAGTTTATTTTTTAAACGAAAGAAAAATATAAACAGCATAAAGTTTATAAAGAACATTTTAAGGGGCTACTCTAAGGAATAATATATCAATAATACATAAAAAAAGGAATAACTTACTTTTAGGATGTTTTAGATCCAGCAAAATTGAATAGATAAAATGAAAATCAATAAACATAAATTGAAATTGATGAAATTTTTTATTACTAAAAACATTACTAAGGAAATGACTGCCTGATTAGATACAGGTATATGGGAATAAAATAAATAAACATACAAAATTAGTTTAGTTAAACCTCCGCCGGTTAAGGCCGCACGCTACACGCTGCTGGCCGTAGAAGTAATGATGAGCACTTTAATCGGGAATTGATATGCGGTTTTCTAGAATATCAGTAATTCAGAGGTTTGGTCCATAGACGGTTTATTTCAGAAAAATAAATATAGATTCTGATGATTCTGAGTAGCCATGTCCACGGATCTACACCGCTTTGTCACTAAACTCGAGCGAAAATTACCACAAAGGGATCGTCTACGAAGCTATGGATGGCCTTCCACTGCACCATGGAGACCATGATCATGGAAGACTGGACATTAGATTAAAGAGACTCATAAACTGTTTCAGAAGATACATCTTTGGGATTTCCTGGCTTCCTCATGTTTCCCGCTGGTATACCAGGTTGAAGTGGCTCTATCCTACCTCGCGATCGCAAGTTCTCAGAACCAAAAATCCTCCCTACATCCCAGAACTCTTTACTCTACCTATCTCTGTTCAATGTCTTAGTTCCAAATCCCAGCCTACTGATTTATATATTCCCTCCCATAAAATTAATTTTTTTGGCAAATAGTTCATCATTCGTGCTACCACCTTCTGGAATTATTTACCAATCCCTATAATCATAATAATAATACTTTATTTATTCTGGGACCCTTTAGAATAATACAGAAAGACATAAATATGGGCTAAGGAGCCTCAGAGATACATAAATAAAAATACAGAGTAATTAAACAGGCATAGTAAAAAAAATTATAAGTTACTTTCTAATTTTAATCAGTTAATAATGAAAAATAAAAAATTGAAAAAAAAAGGATGAAGTCAAATTAATGAAGAATGAGCTAATAATTTATATACATATTTACCTTAGTATCTATTTACAATTTCTTGTACTACAGACAGGGGACTGGATGGATTAGATATGATTGAACAAGCGGGATTTAAAGGTAGCAAGGGTATTAGATTGACGAATGTGAAACGGGATGGAGTTCCAAAGGGATGAGGATCGGATAATGAAAGATCTGTAGAAAGCAGCGGTTCGGTGTGTCCTTATGTATAAATCGGAAGACCGGAAACGAGTATTGAGGGAACGAACAGAGGATTTGAATTGGAGGAGCTCGGAGATGTAGGAAGGACGGTGGGATCGGAAGACTTGAAAGAGGAAGGATGCCAAGAAATACTTAACTTAAGAAATACTTACTACATAAAAATGGGAAACAGAGGCGTCCCTTGGGATCCCGAAGATGAATCGTACAATGCAATTTATTAAACGTTTTAGTTTCACCTCGAGTTGCCCAGAGACGCCCCCATATACCGAACAGCAATAGTCAAAGTGGGGGAAAATTAAAGAAGTGACTAGGATTCTACGGATTTCAAGGGGAAATATGTGACGGAAGTAATTCAGACGTTTTAAGGTGGAAATGGTACGGCGGATCATATGTTGAATATATGATTTTTCTAGGAAAGCGTTTGATCAAAGATCATTCCTAGGTTTTTGACGGAAGGATAGAATTTGATGGGATTATCATGCAGGAACAGAGTTGGAATATTAGGAACAGTTTTAAGGAGATGATTGGAGCCTATTAAGATTACCTTCGTCTTTTATGCATTCAAATTCAACTTGTTATCTCTCGCCCAGTCACAAATCCTATCCAAGTCTTCTTGAAGTTTTTCTGTGGCTGATAATAGATCGGTGGGCGTGAAGGACTGATATATTTGGAAATAATCTGCATAGATACGGTATTGGGAGTGATGGATCAGGAGGAGAAGGTCATTAATATAAATAACAAACAGAGTAGGAAAACGGGGAGGAACCTTGAGGGACACCACAGGGGAGGGGGAGGGTTTTAGATATAGGTTGACCTGGAACTACTACATACTGGGACCGATTTGAAAGGAAGGATTAGAACCAACGCAGGGTACTGTTGGATAGAGGAAGATTGTGTAATTTAGTGAGGGGGATGTTATGGTTAACTGTGTCAAACGCTTTGGAAAAATCTAGAAGAATAGGATAGTAAGGTGTTGGTGTTTAATGTATACGGCAATCCTCATCTATAAATTCCTTCAAACAAATCCTATTCCACCACCTACTTCATTTTCAAACCATCGCATCTACGCAATATTTATTGGATTCTGTAATTACAATAGCTCATCGACAAGTACCATTTGATTTTATTTTTTATTTTTTTGTCATTTTGCATTGTAAACTATATAAAATTCACTTATGTTTCTTTATATACTGCAATTTATTAGCAGTTGCAATTAACCCATGACAAGTAACTCTTTGTATTTTGTCAAGTCAGTCTAATGGGATCAATTTTTTTAACTCTGTTATTCTTCTAAGAAGACTTTATTCTCAGAATAAAATTATTTTTTCATTCATTCAGGTTCCGTAGCAACGTGAAGTTTGGAGACCCCAACTCTCTAGGCTATCTGTGCTTCCACAAGCAATATACGTCTGTAATGAGACATATCGCTCGGATTGAGATTTGAATATATAAATATAGTGGTAATTTTTATTAATTTTAGTATCTTTCTTAACATTTATCTATTTTTTTTTGTAATGTTGTACTTATGGTCAAAATCACTTAAAAATGTCAAATTAATTTTTAATATCCAATTTGTAATATTATAATGAAACTATAATAAAAGGAACGACAGCCTGAATGTAAGGGAGGGGGTATCCATTGTGATAGGGGGGGGGATTAAGTGGAGATAATAAAGTTTAATGGCCCCATTAACCAAGGAAGGATTAATGAAAAATTCGTGCCGTCATTTTATCGCCATCCACCCTCATCCCCAAACTGGCTCCTGGTTAAAAGATTTCAAGATAGATCGTTCGACTTAATCTCTACAACAGGCTCTCCCCATCCATCCATTCCATGCCTTCCTTCCTCCCCCTCCCCCTAAAATCCTCAGCGAGCGTTATTAAGCCAATCAGCTTCCAGACCTGTTTTAAAACTAATTATTCAGGTAATTATCTTCGAAGGTTCTTAACAGCTCCTAATCATCACGAAATAAGCAACAATGTTCCAAATGTTTTCTTCAACTGGATATTTACAAATATATGAAAAAATATATCTAAGATTATATACGATGTATAAGATACTCAAGTTTAATAATTTGCAGTCATGACTATCTCTGAACTTAAAATAATCCATTCAACTCGCTCAAGACATATTTGTTTGGTACAGAGTTTGCATTTTCCTCACTTTAGAAGCCATTCCCCATTTTTTCAATTACCGTGTATGCTACAGATACCCAACTTTTAGAAAAATTGCCTAGTTTAATAAGCTTCAAGTCCATAATAATTAAGTTGAAGTTTACTATAAAAAATCCGAGATTCACTTTAAGTTGTGTCAAAACACCTTGTGTTTTAAAGCATGCGTATTTTGAGCAAAAATGATCACAATAATTTATTGCAAGTTTTTAATAAATTTTTTTCAATATCTGAGATTTGTTATAAACCCAGACCTCTTTCATACAAATCTATCCGTATTAGTGACTGACTAGGGTAAGATCACCATTGATGGGCATAGCTAAGAAAATGTTTATCCTTTTTTTGGCTTATGCCGTCGTAAAC